ATGACTCCAGGGACGGCGGACCTACTTGATCTCGTAGTGTCCTCAATCTGGGTAAGTTAATAATTGTATACATCTGGAGTTACAAGAGTGTTTGTACAATCAAAGTGCTTGATATTCTCTCAAGATTATTCTTATTCATCATCTCGCACGTCTCTGGAGTGAGTTTTACAATGGAACAGATATCTTTTAATTACTTACAAGACTTAGAAGTAAACTAGAAATAAATATTGAGCACTATAGTGAAAAATTTCTCTATGTACCCAGAGGACACTTAAGGGAGTACCTCGTATTTTATAACTCGCTAGGGCACTAACTCATTATATAATGCAATAATAGAGTGCGCTACAAGGTTATACAGACAGATCTGCTCTAAATAATCATTTAACTAATATTATTCTTATGATGCCTAGTCTAATAGCTACTTTATGAGAAGACTATTAAGCTATGTTATTGTTAGTGGTGTGAGTGTGCATAATATTATTTATACAAGTTTTCTATCCTAAATCTGCATACGTATATTAAGTATCGATAAGTTGCCATACTCTCACACAGTGGAGCCTTGTTCTGAGCGGGTCCTCACGATACTCTCGTCGAACCCGCTTACTAATGTTAGAAAACAAATCTTGTGCACTCATGGAGGTTTTACTACCTAAAAATATTATATGTGCAGCTTGAGACTAATCTATGAGCCATGCATTCGAAATTTTATATGCGTCGCTTAGTTAACTCTCAAGATGATTATTTTTTAAATAATGTATATGTTATATTCACTTTTTTTGCTGCAAATGATGAGAAACAAAACGAAGATTTTGTCCATGAGAATGAAACATATATTGATTAAAACTTAGGAGATAGCCTTCACTATTAAAGGCATTACAATACGCTGTAACATTGTATAATTTGGTTCATTTAGGATTTTGGCCATTACTCGTTCTAAGGTCGCGAATATATATTTATACACATACAACACGTATAGTAGGTCAAACAAAATACAAATCTATGGGTAATAAACTCAAGTATCATAAACCACTGACATGCAACGAACGCCACACAGTGACACATTCGCTCAGCAGACACAGCTACTGTGAAGCTCTCCATATCTCTCTCTTGTATTAGGAGCTTACATTAAACATCTATAAGGTCTCAATTCATTATTAAACGGCAATTATACTCTCGAAAATGTTACTGTTATCAATATTATGTTGGTGTACTTTGTACACGGTATCTCTACTCAGCTATCAAATAATTGATTATTCAGCTCATCAAGTAGATCTCATTGTAGTACATAATCATATTACCTCTTGACATGTGTAGTGCATTAGTAATTCTAGTAAAACGAATGAATTCACTGGCGCTGGTATTGAGCTTTAGGGCTGTTCTATCTGTTTCGTTATCTGGATAAAAATTCAGAAGTAGTCCGTTCTAGGACACTAAATGACTTCCCTGTTTTTCACCGTTACATCATAAATTTTGATGTTATAACACGTTATTGCGATACGCCTATCTAGATCACTGGAATCACAGCACTATATCGTAGAATTCTTGCACGTTGATATACTGCGATATATTTGAAATATAATCTCTGATGCCCGTGTTTTACGCATTGACAGATGTAACTGTGCACGTTCCTCTCTCACAAGACATCAAGAACAGCCATACAAACTAACTTTACCCTGACAGTTCTTTTGTGGAGTCTCGCGAATTGCGTAAGCAAGTTCATATTTGAGGTCTCGTCTTTTTTATAAGACAAACATCGACCTTTTTATATTCTTGTATTCGCATTGTTACACGATAGAAGTCACAACCTTGATTGGTGTCATGTCCGTGCTAGCTCTCTTCGCTAAATTAATGCGATCTTGGTGTGTGATTGACTTCAGAGACTATTACTTCCTTTGTCCTTCTACGTGATAGCACTACTCTGGTCATTTCATGTGTAAGGCGTCGCAAACAATGTGAAGTACTCATGCGATATACGTAGAGTGCATGTGCAGGGACCAAGCTTATCAAGTACTAAGTGATTCTTACGGAGAGATCGTTACTGTTTATTCTCTATCTACCACTTTAGCTTCATCGGCGTTGGTGCTGCTAGACCATATTAATGCACGGAGTGACACCTGTTGGATTATAATACCTTCATATAACCCACAGTTATAGACACATATACATTGTCTGAGGTTTATGTACCTTCCAAACTACTATGATGTGGTCAATCGAGTGATAACATAGCGTAAATTATCCTTATAAACAACAACATTTACTACTCGCGAGAAGTAATCTATCATCAAGAATACTCATTTCATACATTCTAATCTTGGTGTGAAGCTCAATACAATTGATACAAGACGACTGATTTATAGTATTTCAAAAAGCATCGACTATACGTAATCTCATATTACTAATCGGAATGTGTATATTAAGATCAGTCTCTGCTACTTGATCTCAATCCGTAGATATAGTGTGGCACGAGAATTAAAATCTCACCTCACTATATAGTCTACTCTATAATCCATACGTCTCTCTTAAAGAGATAAATTTTATTATACTTTTATTATCAACGTCTGTTTTCTTTAATATGAGACGTGTTACTCTCTCTCCTCCAACAGGATCATATTATTCTTTTCGCTACCTTTTTTTGAGAGGGCTCATAATAGCAAAACTTCTTCTCTCGCTGAGCCTACAAAACACTTTATGTTTGCGTTTGAGAGTGATAGCAAATGTGATTGTATACACAGTTGTGTATGCCATGTGATAGAGGCTTCAACAGATTAGTATTGGATGACGTAAAACACATATCAATCGTAAATTGGTACAGACTGTATACTTTATGACAAATCGTGAGTATAAATATAATCAACTTATATATACTCGCTTGATTCATACAATACCTATCTTCATTTAATTATAAGCATTTTAGTAAATCGACTATACAACACTTCATATATGAAGTCTGTTTGTCTGCTAGAAATGGCGGATAACTTCTGTCAAACAGAACAACACTATATAGTGCAAAAATATCATACTACTACTTTATATTGTCCTATATAGAATATGCTCGAATGCTTATAAAGTATACATCTAAGCAAATGATAACAGATTGTTAGTTTGGGAAAAGTATTCAGTGCCTGACCTCGAGCAATACAAGCTATGCATTACAATAGAGTGATGATTCATATTAGACAAACAAAACGACCATTACACTTTCCATATAATAGTATGTATAAAGAATTATCAAATAATAAATTTATTTGTTTGTGGTAACTACTAATTTGAGCAATGAGGAAGCTTACCGCGTTTTCCGTTGGTTCTTCCGTTCATTCATACTTTATTCAATATGCCCATAATTAAGACTAATATGTGAAAACTTGACGAAACTCTCTGTCTCTCCGTCGTTTATGTAAGCAGAACTCATAATCCAATTTCGAGCTTGTGTAGTAAATCTGTCAGCTTGTATATTAATGCGTCTGATCGCATCAGCTCAATGACATCAAATACTAACGAGTTAGTAGTAGTTGACTCAAATGTGAAATTTAGAGTTAGTAAGGCACTCTCTTTTTATGTTATTATGGGATGTAAAGTACGAATATTATATTGGTATATTACGATAAGTTAAATAGCTAGGTATACGTTAAATTTATTTATTGTACTCTCTCAAATAACTCTTCTCAATATAAAATTATCTGTGAATTCTAACACAGTACAATGGTACTCTACGAGTTATGCGACGACAATGTGTTTTTTTATTTGCTGAGTGTATGACGTACCTATAGAATGAATTTTAGTTGTCTAATATTTGAAGTGCTGCAAAAGTATACTCAAATGTACGTATCCAGAAAAATCGATATGTTCATTATTTATTTCTCAGTATGAACTAGTGGATAAGATAAATTATACAGAGACCAACAAATAACCATTATGTACATTTTTCATGTGTGTCTACTGCAATCAATTTAAGTAACATGTTATCCGCGTGCACCATCATCAGAAACTCAACACCACTCTAGGGCCTTGATTCGTTACATAATCGTCTATACGTCATCTATCCATAGATGTGCTCTGTTGTAGCTACGTATATATTGTATGTTGAAATTCAAACAATGCATCTGACGAAATCGGCGTGCTCGCCTAATGAGAGTCTCAAGCTTAGCTCGATACAAAGTTGAATGATTGCACGTGTTAGTGTGCTTTATTACTATTTTTGGTAGATCCAGTATAGCACTGATGCTTTTTTATTCTTATTCTTTTACAAAAGATTTTAAACAAAAGTACATATATTCATATATAACAAGAAGCTCGGACGTCGTCTTAGTAAAACATGCTCTACCCACCAGTATGACTGCCATCGAGCAACAAAGTTCTCGCTCATGCGACATTACAGGGAGCCAGGCTGAAAGTACCCACTCACAATTCTACGATTTCGCAAACGATGCGGAGATCAGTGATGCAAACTCGGAGGTAAGGTTAATACCTGTAAGTGACATGATCTAAATTCTATTATAATCATTGAACTGTTAGGAATTCTCTAATATGAGAGAAAATGATGTAAAAGAATATTAGTATATGGTAATAGTGAAGCCACGATAATACAAAGAGGCGAAGCTAAGAACGTAGGAGTATATGGATTGTAGGGGCGGTAGTGCGTTTAATGAACTCATTCTCTAGAGGAAAAAACTACTACCCGGGTAATTTGTAGAGATATGATTTAGCCAGCTGTTTAAACATTTGTAGGACTACGTTTGTTCAAAGAGTAGTCTACAAATTATAAAGAAAATACTCATTATTATCTATAAGATTATATTAAAGCCTTCAAATTATTTCATTTTTCTCTTTGTGTATAAGGATACTGCATCATCCACGTCAGGCTGGTTGAGAATAAACTAAAATTCAACTATTGCTACAATCTGTATATGTTATATATCATTACTAAACAGGAAACAACGCCGAAGTATGCGCCGTCCCTGGGTAAGGCATATTTAAAATTCACATATTCGTTATATCTGTATATTTTAAATATCACCTATACAAACTGTTCTATTTAGATTTACTAGAAAGTGACTTGGAGAACGATGTAGAGGCAGTACGGAAAGCTCGATATTTCTATCAGTCATGTATGAATGAAAGTAAGTAATAACTTGGTGTTATTTATCATAGATAATCTATTATCCAGTTTGTATTGACAGGACGAAGTTTCTCTGTCTACTAGTATTTGATTAACGCAAATGATATTTTCATTCGCAAAATATTTTCCAAAAAAATATTATAATAACTTAAATAAGTTACAATTTGTTAATTATAATTTGATTCTATATTATAAAGGAACATGTATCGTGTTTTTGTTGTTGTTTTTGTTGTTGTTGTTGTTGTTGTTGCTGCTGCTGCTGCTGCTGCTGCTGCTGCTGCTGCTGCTGCTGTTGCTGTTGCTGCTGTTGCTGCTGATGTTGTTGTTAACTTGATTATGTTTTTTTATAACGTTCTGACCTATCTAGATTTTAATTTTAGCACAGATTGAGGCACTTGGTATCAGTGTAATGACGGACCATCTTGATTCGATTGGCGGGTGGCCTGTACTGGGCACGAAGCCCGGGGGTAACTGGAATGAATCTTCATTTGACATTATGTCAGATCTTGTTTCCATCAGATATAGCGGCGTGTCACCTTTCATCCAAGTATTTTTAGGATTAGACGAGAAAGATAGTGGAAAACGCATGATAAAGGTTAAGTATTCTTCAACTGTACATGTACTTAATACAGGTATTGCACTCCTCTTACCTTCGTGAATGGTCGTCATACTTCGTCAGTTTCCGTATCATACACTATTTTGATAAGCATTGGTACGACCAAGAACAAAATAATGTTATAAGATAGGCTCTTAAATACATAATTATAAAAAATGACGAATAAGTCAAGTTTGTAGGAGTATTTGATGAATGGATTATTGTATTTGCAGATAGGAGAGGCCAAACTAGGTTTGACCACCAGGGATTATTATTTTAATGCTGAGCACCAGAATTTACGAGATGCCTACTTAAAATATTCTATCAATATAGCGACACTTCTTGGTGCTGACCCCGACACGGCAAACACTGATATGAAAGCTGTATTTGACCTAGACATGCAGCTAGCAAATGTATGTTTTTTACTATAATACTGCGCGTTTGTTACGTCGTTTTTCATTGGATAATCGTGGTGTTATATATTTTTATAATACTAATCATATGCCTAAGAATGTCATTTTAAACGGTTTTTTTTTATAAAAGAAAGACCATTATTCTAATATTTTACCATTTGCAAGAATCGTTATAATTTAAATAGAACTAACATAATTCATAAGAATAACAGTTTTATTAATATATTAGATATCTTATCCATAATTAGCTCGTATTCATTCGGCAAAATTCGTAACGAATAATAACTTATTGTTGATTTTGTGTGCTAATCTTGGTCATATTGACGCTTATTGTATCACAAGAGGCACGGAAAGTGGCAGAAAAGTCCAAAGATGTAAGAGTCAATAATGATTGTAGCTATTTACTTATATAAATCTACACTTAATCTATTTCATATGAAGCTTAGCTTAACAAAAATAGAGCAACGAAATAGGGACGATGCCTACAACAAAATGACCATTGAAGAATTAGAACATCATTACCCAACACCGACGGAAGGACACGTGAAGGTAAGCATACCCTTACAATGCCTGATCAGTTTAAATAATGCCGCAGTCACAAATAGCAAAGTTTCTCCAAAAACTGGCAATATCGGCTGGCGGCCGTTCGGTTACAATGACAATCGGGCGGCAGCAGCTAACAATTTTGCTCATCAGGCGGGCCCCATCGAGTTTTAAATGCAACTTAAAAGCTAATTGATGAGCCGGAAAACTTAAGAATATGTCCGCAACAAATTCATGTATTATCTTCCTAGCCCAAACCCTCTTACCCTAACCATAACCCATTACCCTTAACGGTAACTTGAGAAGTAATCTGAGTGATGTTACTAATAAAATACTGTTGTCTAAATGTTAAAATTAGCTGCGGACATATTCTAAAGTCTAGCCAATGATTGAAATATCTTTATTATTCATAGATTGCTTGTTCTGACTTTGAAACGGGCTATTCATTTCTATTTACTTCTTAGGCCTTATATGCCTTTTACCAAGATATTTTCACAATGCTATATATGTATCATATATACCTTTATTTAAACTGCGTTACAGATGAACTGGCACGAGCTTATTCAGGGAATTATGGGACTAGCTGAGGAAAATATAACAATAGAAAAGTCAGAGCCTATTATACTAACAGTGCCGAAATATTATAAAGAAATCTTTAAAGTTTTAGAGCAACAAGAAGTCAGGTAAAGTGATATTTAGTTTTCTTATTATCATCATCAACTTCATCATCATCAACATCATCATCATCATCGTCATCGTCTTCGTAGTCATCGTCGTCGTCATTGTCATCTTATAGATATTTTTTATGTTTTAATGTCTTTAAAACAACAAGAAGTCCGATAGTCTTATACCTATTATTATTATCATCATCATCTTCTTCTTCATTATCATCATCATCACGGTCATCATCTTCGTCCTCGTCGTTGACGTTGTCGAGATTATCATCATCATTTTTTTCTTATTATTATTATTTCTATCATCATCTTTTTCATCATAATCACTTTGTTATAAGATACATTTATTTGAATCATTTTAAATCTTCATTTCAGAACGTTAAGAAATTACATGATATGGTCAGTGGTGCAACAATATGTGCGGCGTCTACCAAAACGATTTGTCGATGAATTAGCGGAATATAGAAAGGTATGATGTAATGTAGTGTATTATATACTTATAAATGAAATATTGAGAAACGTTTATGAAATAAAATGCGCATTTTTAATTTTCCGTATTTTCATTGCAAAGATTTATTTTTCACTGCAATGAAACATATTTTCAATAATTTCGGTACATTTCTTTCTCAATTCAGCAATTACACACAATTAAAAGGGCAGCCTTTCGGATCGTAAGATAAAAAAAGAGAAAAAGTTTATAAAAAAAACAACAACAGAAAATTCAAGTTTTTCTTTAAATACAGGATTAATTTTCATCGAGTGGTATGAAAATAAATAATCATGAGTGGCGGTATCTTCTATAAAAATTATATTATAATCAAATGGAGTCGTGTGTATGCCATATATAACCATTACATTTTTTATCATATGACGTCGCTTATTTCCAGTATATCATCATTATAATGCAAATGAAATCCTCGAATTTTCAATGGTTGATACGCTTTTTATAATATCCCTTAATGTACAGTCTACGATTTTATCCCGTGACTTCATATAGAAATATAAGAAGTATATTTACTTAGCAACAAAATCATTTCTTCTACGCATTTATCAACTTTTTTTATCAGATATTTTGCAATTTGCAGAATTTCAGTAATGGGCATTATTAATTTATCAAGATTAAAATTTACAGTCAATTTTATTTATTTATTTATTTTTTATTATCTTTTTTATTATTTATTCAAAAAAAATATTATTATTTTTTTGCAAAGTAAGTGCACTCAGGAAATGTATTTGAATGCTAAAGTGGAAGGTACTTTTACATACATGTTAGTTTACTAAAATGGTGTTTAGTTTTTTTAGTACAAGGTGGACTGCAGTTTATTTTTAATCTTTACATTTTTTGTTAAATTGTTTTATTTTAACGACAGGCTCATGACGGTACGAAAGTTAAAGAATCTCGCTGGAAAAAGTGTTCTCATAGAACCACAAGAACTTTTGGTATAGCTGCCGGTAGATTGTTTATAAAAGAAACGTTTGATGAAGAATCGAAACAAAAAGTGAGTTTAGTATTTAGTTAAAAAATATTTTATTTTTAATATCTGTATTTTAATAAATCATATAAAAAATTGTTTTACAAATTAAGTAGGATGTCCTCTGTGGTGCTGTCTTTATGTGTTTGTATATAACTATATCTATTTGTATGTATAGATTTGTATACATTTGTATATACATGTATTTGTATAGTTACAGTTCAGAATGGTAATATTAAATATAATATACAATGTTATAGTAAGACGTTCATAAGAAGAAAAACGATTTAAACAGCTAAAGAGTAGAGCGGTTTATTTTTGTTTTGTTTTTTAGTATCTACAACTCCAATTCTATGTTTAGTGTCTACTATGCCATTTTTTAAGTGTCTACTGCAAAGTTTAAATGAATAACTTGTCTTGAAAATAGACAGTCAAACATTTTCAACTTTAGACCTTCACATTGGCAAAGACTGGTATGTTGTGTTGTCGACTGTTTCGGCCAGACATCAATTCGACATAAATTCCGTTATCCTACACCGTTATGCTACCGACCATACATTTTGTACAATATATTCAATTTTCTTTTGGAAATATTGCATCTATTGACTTTATTATCATCTACCTTTCAAGAATCAAACTTGCCTCTTTATCATTTCGCGAATCCATATCAAAAAATAGCAAATCAATCCTACAACGATCCGATGAGAGTTATGTATGATGTATTTATAGATTGATCAGTAGATATTTCATATCTATAGATAATTCAGTAATATATTTTTGTTTTTTATATAAAAGAGGGAAATCTACTTGTCTGGTTTTCTTAAGAAAAAAAATGTATTTGATTTATTTCTTGATAATGACGACATGATTGTTAATGTTCCTTTTGACTGATCTGGGTAGCGTGTATGTTTAAACCGAATAAAATATATCGTTTGCATGCCATTAGTAATTGGCCGATACTTTGAAATCAACATTACTGGTATAAGGAAATTTTCCGGATACGAAAGGGCGATTAACTAGCCACCAAAGCCCTCCGAAAGCAAGGTGTTCAATATTTAAGGAATCAGGAAATCCGGGATTCAAACCCACAGCGGCGAGTATTTCAAAATGCATACACTATATGTAATATACATATATGCTTTATCACATTGTAATATATAATTCAATTATGTATTATAATGTGTTTTAGTTTTCGGAGAAAATATTTTATCTTAATTTTCATAATAAATGTCGTGATTTTAGAGCAAAATAATACGAACGCACCTGGTGAAACTATTTAAAAGATAACTGACGTAAATTATTCAATGATTGGATATAAAATTGATGCGTTGAAATTGCAGGCATTAGATATGATACACGATATCCGAGAAGCTTTTAATGAGCGTCTGAGTGATTTAGAGTGGATGGATGAGCAGACGAGAGCTGTTGCTAAGGAAAAAGTAGGTAAATTTTTAACTTTCAGATTACATATTACAAGATCATAAGTTTTAATATCTTTTTCATCTGTTTTATAGATGAAGTGACTGAGAATAAGTTAAATTAAAAACACTTAAGTGCACAAAGGTATTTTCATATCTGGAAAATGATGTTTATAAAATTGATGATCACCCTATTATTGATAACAATATTTTATGAGTTTTATGATGAAATTCTCTTTAAAATGAATAAACTGAAATTAAAGAAGGAAACTATCGCGAGAATATTGCAAACAGCACAACAAGTGAAAATTTGAGACTCAGTTAAACAAGTGAAAATTGCAGATTCAGTCAAACAAGTGAAAATTGTAGACTCAAACAAATGAAAATTGTAGACTCATTCAAACAAGTGCAAATTGTAGACTCATTCAAACAAGTGCAAATTGTAGACTCATTCAAACAAGTGCAAATTGTAGACTCAGTCAAACAAGTGCAAATTGTAGACTCAGTCAAACAAGTGCAAATTGTAGACTCAGTCAAACAAGTGCAAATTGTAGACTCAGTCAAACAAGTGCAAATTGTAGACTCATTCAAACAAGTGCAAATTGCATACTCAATCAAACGAATGAAAATTGTAGACTCAGTCAACCATTGCAGACACAATCAAACAAGTGAAAATTGAAGACTAAAGTTGCTAGCAAATATCGCCTACTATATATAGCTAATAGGATAGGATTGTAAAATACACAATTTCTTCACTAACGATATTAGATAGATGCAACCAAAGATACCGAGACAAAAAATTAGCTTTTGTGTAGAAATATTCAGATCTTTCAGATACTTTCAACAATATCTCTGTAAAGTTTTGTATTTTAATGATCTTTATAATATTTAGATATCATATCTCAACTGATGTCGACATCAGCAATAAAATGTTTATTTATTATGTTTGCGAAATATAATTACCTTGTTATGAAAACAAATCTTGATAAGGATTGATGTATTTGAGTATTTCGTTCAAGTATATACGCTATATTCAACTAGATATGCAGTCAAGGTTGTTATGTGCATCTTTGTTGCAATCTTCCGTAAAACCGTAAAGTGATATTCATCTTCAATATTTTAAGCGTTGCAATATTTACAATAAATTTATTAAAGGTTGAATAGCACTTCTACTAAATTTGCCATGTTTGTTTTTTGATAGGCTTTGCACATTCGAGAGAAGATGGGATATATGATTTTTATTTTGAACGCACGGATAACTTACAGACGAATATTACAGTGAGTAGGACTTAACTATAAAATCTCATAGAATAAAGAGTCCAAATAATTTGGCTATTTGAGACATACACATCTACTCTTTTACCATAGATCTCTCTACTGCCCATGTGACGGGACATCCTCTGAGAGTTCGGCATTTCTGCCTTCAAAGATTATAAACGATAGGCAAGGCCTATCTATATCACAGGTATTATCCAACTTCCGGTAATCAGTGAACTCTCGCAAAGATGAGAGCACTTGATACCAGAATCCCACCACGTACACAAAGATATCCGCCAGCACCTCTAAAGCATGATACAACAAACTCTCAACTGTATACGTATACCAACTTCTTTTCCACTAATCTTCGTGACAAATTTTAAACATCTTACTCAAGTCTTTCACCCAATAAGTTACTGATCTCCGTGTCCTAGTCTCCAGATCCCAGAACATCAATATCACTGAATTTACCCTTGTCCCAGTTTATAAATAAAGGACAAACTGAAAGAACGTGAAATTTATCTTCCTATACACATTTTCTGCCACAACCATTCTTTATTTTATCTTACAACAACTACTGAAATCCACAAAACAAATTATAATTACTCCAATAAATAAATTTTGCTCGCCCCCCGTTTAACCCGAAATGTTAAATATGTTATATTTTCATCTTTAACATCAATGTATTGCTGCCTGTTTGCTGGAATGGTATTGTATGCAGGTGATATTCTGATTGTATTGTATTCAGATAATATCTTAATTAGGAAGCATTTCCTGTTTATGTTATATTGGTATTGTATTCCAGTATATTTCGTATTAGTATTGTATTTGAGTCAATGTCATATTGGTATTGTATTCCAATATATTTCGTATTTGTATTGTATTCTCTATATTTCGTATTAGTATTGTATTTTAGTCAATGTCATATTGGTATTGTATTCAAATATATATTTCGTATTTGTATTGTATTCTGTATATTTCGTATTAGTATTGTATTTGAGTCAATGTCATATTGGTATTGTATTCCATTATATTTTATTTCAATATAGTTTGTATTAGTATTGTATCCGAGTTATTGTCATATTTGTACTGTTTTCCATTATATTTCGTATTTGTAATGTATTAGTTGAAATCTTTATCAGATGGAAATAAATAAAGATGAATATTTCGGCAACATGCTCCGCATTACAAAGGTTTGGACCAAAAATGCACTGAAGTCTTTGAGAGAACCCTACAAGAAAGAAGATTCATGGTATGTTTAATCTATGCATTCTTTTTGTAAACATATCTCTTATGAAAAAAAAAGAAGTAAAAATATGTTTCGTCCAGCAATTATAAACATTTTACACTGGCTGTAAGTTTAGAAATATAAGCGTAGTTGTTCAATTAATTCCATAACGAGGCTCTGTCATGTGTTCACCTAAATGTCACAACTCCTCCGAGAGCCAAATATTCACGCCTGCACATCACATATAAATATAAAGATACAAAATTGAAAAACCAAAACTAAGGTTTATTTATTCATTAATTTTTATAGCTTAAATCATTCTCTTTACTCTTGCTCTGCTGACGGCAACTGAATATACTTATTCAACCATTGCAGACGCTGGAACGCTCGTGTCGTCTTGTCGTGGTCTGTATATATAGTTCGCTATTCAGTTATAAGACGATTTGAAAATGTCCTTAAAATGATGAATGGTTTTAGCTGGATTCAATGATTGTCAAGTATATTTCAGATATGCGTGAATAAGGATATAATTACCATAATGTCAACAAGACCATATTTTATTTTCCAGGTGGGAAACAGCCCCGGCAACAGTAAATGCATACTATACGCCTTTGTTAAACTTAATATGTAAGTTGTTGTTTCATTGATTGTTATAATGAAAGTTTTATCCATTAAACAAAAAAGTAGGCATTTTACATATGCATGTATACTGTGCTTTTGTGAAATAAATCAAATAAATCGTCACCTGAGTGCAATAAAAGGTTAAGTCCTCCTGCATTTAATCAGTTATTGCACTAAAGTCACAAAATGATAAATGTACCTGTTTATTGTGCTTTCTTTAACTTTACTAGATTTGTGTATTGGTATGCTTTGAATGTGCACTAGTATAACATACATGTAATAACAGCAAATATTGAAATCAAGCGTCTGGCTAGACTGAACGATTCTGGAAGCTTGTCTAGCATTATTCTGCTGACTCAGCAGTCATTATTCCCTGCGGTCTGGAGACGCAGGGTATTGGTACGCGTTTTACTTTTGAGGCATGGAGGAGCACGTGACCTGTTTTCGGTACATGGAGGAACATGTGATATGTAAACCGTACATGATTGGTTAATTGACCTTTTCGAAAACCTAGCTAAATACCGTTTGCCGGTACGTTACGGATTTACCTCTAGGGAATTAGTAAGAACAAAAAACTATTACGTGATATTTCTAATTTTCTATAATTATTTTACCGTTTAAGGTGGAAAACTTGAATGATATGTTTGAAAATTATCAATGTTTCTTTAATATCTATCTCAAATTTTACAAACAATAAATTGTTTATACTGAAACTCTACAAAATTAAAATATTCGTAGTGGCATCTGCCATAATAAATAGAGTTATTTTCTGCGTTATTTTCTGCGTAAACTTGTGTGTTTACTTTATTTATTTTTTGCTCGGAATTATTCATAAAATGGTAGGCCTATTTAATCATTTTCTTAAAAAGAAATAATTGTTTTATGTTCGACCTTCTCCTGTCTTCAACGGTCACCAGTTTCCAAAGACCTTCTTCTATAGTGATCGTTTATTCAATTGTCAACTATATTCCTGATACAAACGTTTATTTATCCCCCCCCCCCAAAAAAAAAAAAATGTTGAAAATAGTTAAATGAAATATCATTATATCATTAAAATGTTCACCGCAGGAAACCATTTTACTTGTTACTTATGACATTGAAAATGTTAAATACTTAGACTATAACTCAAGTGGTCTTTTCTAAGAAACGTTTATATATTGCAGCATTTCCTGCCGGGATGTTACAGCCCCCGTACTACAGCAAGTATCAACCGAGGTAATAAAGATGCTATATTAAACAATTTGTCACTTTATATATATTCATTACTATCTATTGCACAAAATTTATCAAATATCCGTGCAATAGGTAATTATCTATTAATTGTTTACGGGGTTGTGTCTTAAATGATTGTATTAGATATGATTTATATAATCAATAGCAAGGCCTTGCACCAAATCTCTGACCAGCTTTTTGAATAATTGGGCAATAATATAGCCAGCGAGCTGATGATATTCACTATAAAAAAGATAATACCGGCTTTGTCATATTCGACAAAATATACTGAATATCGGCATAGGTGATAAAATAACTATTTTTGGATAAAAACTGCGTAGCAAGAATACATAAAGAGAGAAGATTATATCTTATAAACGAGTTTACACCATTGTCATTAATAAATTGATACTAGTATGTCATGTAAAAAGTAGATGATTGCGATGACGGCCCTAGAAATTTCATTATCAAAGCCATCAAATGAACGACTCTGGGATGTGAAATGCATGACAAGACCTGGGGAGCGTTTCACTAACGTACTTATGTTATCGAAACTCGAGTTTGAGCGTAACTTTTTGCGTAAGTATATTTATGTAGAAAATTACGCAAAACAGAATGTTAGTGAAACGCTGGCCGGCTTTTCTGTACGAAATCTGCTGTGGTCATAGTATTATTTTTACAATAGGGTTATCTCTTAGATTTGGTTTGCTACTGTATTGCTTATCATGGTCATGCAACTACATAGTTAGGTGAAGAAGCAGGCGCTTGTTTTGGTTGAGTCTATTATGTTTTGTTTAGGGGGTGAGTTGTCATACACAAATTTACAATTTATATGCATTTATTTTTTTCCAATGATTGTTATTATCTTAAATGCTTCTGGGATTATTGTTTTATCAATTCATTTGTATATATGTCTATTAACGGAATAGTTTTAATGAACACGAAATTAGTTCACACCATTATGTGTATTGAGAACGTGATGGTTTAAGCCAATGAAAACACATCAATATTATTACAATCAGGCAGAGAAAAAGTGTGCAAAGAGTAAATCGATAATCTTTATGTAACAAACAACTTTTGAATTGCAAGTATTTTTTCATATCTTTTCGGCAGGATAAACTGTCCGAGGAGGGCCAGGCATTTTCGTATCGTAAAATGGCTACCATTTACAGTATCAAGTAATTATCCCAAGCACCACCGCGACTTTGCGCGGGAATTTTAATTATAGCTAACCTCGGGCGCGTCGCATAGGATGGAAAATACCTTTTTCATATTTTATTGTAATAAATATATACAAACTGTGTCTTTCGTTTTTTTATCAATATATAACCAATAATGATGTTAATATGAATAAATAATGATATTTAAATCTGTGACTATGATTTACAATGAAATTCTACCTTAAGTGTTTTAAAAGGGTTTTTTTAATTTCCTGTAATTTTATTTTGTGATTATGCTTCAAAGCAGTCAATTGACCGTGAATTTTCTTTTCATATTTTGATTTTCTTGAAATCATTTTTCTCATCTGAAGGCATGCAACTTTAATATGATGATACATTAATTACATTCCATGAAATGTTTAAAGATATAAAATATCTCATGACATGTTTGTTCATTTTACATTACACCTTTAATTCAGCAAACATAAAGTCTTCACAAAAAGTAGTATGCAATCGTACCTATATTACATACGAATGTATGTAATATTTTTCTTGTTTAACGAATACTGAATCAGATGTATATATTTTATGCAAGAATAATGCTAATGTACCTTTTCATCTCGTGTATTATAATCTTTAGAAGCCCTCATCATGCGGGTTCGGATTTCTGTTAATTGCTTGGCATGTTTAAATATGTTAAAGAAACCATTAATTGGGACATGTAATTACAGGTCTATGAACTACGGCAGTATTGGATTCCTGATTGGTCACGAAATTACACATGCATTTGATGATGTAGGCAAGTAATTTCTTACCCATATTGACGAATAACATGTGTTATATCATATATATTGGCGTGCGATATTAATTTTCCTATCTATATATTTAAGAATGTCATTATTAAACATAGTCAATATCCAACAAATTTATTGTCACTATTTGATATTGTAAGTATTAAATATTGCCATTGCCAATATCTAATACAGTCAATATTTCGTAATGTTAATATTAAGTATTGTCAATATTTAATGTTTGTGTCCCTTATTAAACTTTGTAAAAGCATTTATATTTAAAGATGATGCATACTTTTCTTTTGACTAGTACAATATACCTTTCTCTGACAATTTTACGTTTTCAAAATTTTTGTGTTTGACAGAAATAGTTTTATTCTGTTACTATGGTTACAGGACGGAAATACGACAAAGAAGGCAATCGACGACAATGGTGGAGTAATGAGGCCATTCAAAGATTTACAAACAAAACCAAATGTATAATTGACCAATATAACAATTATGTTATGCCATTGGCAAAAATAAATGTATGTGTACTTTTGTTTTTCCTTAAGAAAGTCTTATCGCATTTCAAGATGTAATAATCGAGATAGCATTGATCGGTGTTGTCGTTGTTGTTTTTGTTTCTTTTATTTTATATTTAAAATATATGTGACAAAAACACTTTACTTATCTGCCAATTTTTTATCAAAATTGAATTTGTCATAACATTTTTTTAACAAATTTATTTCATATAGAAGATATTTGTCAAAGAAATACCGTATTGCATCTTTGCTCATTTAATTTTAAATGTTAAATTCCTACATTTATTAGTTCAGAACTTGGACTCTCTCAGGAACAAGGTTCAATGTAACAAAATTATTATCTCCCCTTTAGACTAATTTGAAGATTATGTCGTAGCAGTAATATTGTATTTGTATATTCCACAGTTAGATGGAGAATATACTCTAGGTGAAAACATTGCCGACAATGGAGGTGTTCAGCAAAGTTATAAGGTAAAAAAATATATAAAGAGTGTCTGTACCCAGTTGGGTTTGTCTTAAATAAATAGTAGTCGTTAACCAAAAAGAGTAATCTTATAAGATTGCATGCATGTTAAGGCTGATAATGTTAAAGATGCATTTAAAAAAAGTTCAGGACAGCTTAAGTACTTCCTGAAATGCTATGGAATTTGAATTTGTGCGAAATAAAAGCACAAACCGATGAAACATACGTCAGATATTTTAAGCGGTTTCCAATTCAAACGCTTACTATCTCAAATGTGATATCGAGAGGTGGTAATTTAACATTCAATTTGGTAAAAAAAAATCAAATTTTTTTTTCGGTATCACGTTTTGCTTATTAGACAGTCCAATACATGTATATTATAAATTTATCAAATAAGCACGTTGTCATAGTGGATTGAATTACCAACTACCAGCTGTTAAATTGTTATTAAATTTGTTAAATTTGTTTATTCGAATATCCAACTACATGCCCAAATTGTAGCTCATAAATAATATAGTTTGAAAGGTCATGGTAAATTTATTGAAAGTTCACGTGTCAGGACATGGATGTTCTGTAAGGTTGTTGCTTTCAGATAGCCAACTGTTCTATGTCAATTAAAGCCGCACCATGACAAAACCAACATAGTGCGTTTGCGACCAGCATGGATCCAGACCAGCCTTCGCATCCGCACAGTCTGATCAGGATCCATGCTGTTTGCTTACAAACCCAATAACAAGTAGAGAAACTGATAGCGAACAGCATGGATCCTGATCAGATTGCGCGGATGCGCAGGCTGGTCTGGATCCATGCTGGTCTCAAACGTACTATGTTGGTTTTGTCGTGACGCAGCTCATTTATTTTTTTTCATTGATTAATGAATTTCGCATTTTGATTTTTGAAAGTTGACTCCTTTCACAACTGTGTCTTTTATTAGATTATTCTCATTGGAAGTACGTCGCCAATTATGTATATTAGTTTTAAATACATTTACTTTATTATATTTTGTAAAGGCATATCAAAACTGGCGACAGAAAAGTGAGACAAAAGAGCCGAGATTACCTGGAGTTAACTTCACACATAATCAGTTATTTTTTATTAATTTTGCTCAGGTGAGTCATACTTAAACTATACAAGAATCCGTTTTATCAATTGTTTTGATTCTTTCTGTTTAATGCTCTGATATGTGTGTGTAATTTACGTCACAATGACTCAGTATAGATCGAACGACAACCCTCTGCTGTAAAACGGTGAGGACAAATATCAGAGGGTCGGTGTGTTGTTTTTAGACATATTTGGATATATAAGAAATACCAAGACTTAAAAAAGAATATTTAAATAGGTTCCTCACATAGCAGAATTCAGCGTCTCTTGCAGGATTTGAACCAAAAAAGGGGGAAGTGAATCGGGGTTGGCTATATCAACCATCCGATCATATACTCATGATGCCTTATGCAGACAACTTCAAAGTTTGTATAAGAGTAAATTTTGTAAAAACATAATCAATCTCAGTATTGAATAAATTTAGGGCTGGTGTGGGGTAGCTACAAAAGAGTTTGAAATAAACATGGTACCTACAGACACGCATAGTCCTGGTAGATACAGGTATGTGAATGTTTCCCTTGGTGTGATAGCTTAGAATAGTAACATCACATTGTTGTACTGTATGTTTGCGTTTAATTAATTGTTTTGCGCCTGACTTCTACGCCATTGTTTGCACTACATACGTTTGTCTCGTGCCTGACTTATACACCATTGTTTTCTGTATGCACTATATATCATTGTTTTGTGCTTGACTTGTACGCCATTGTTTCTTTGTCTCGTGCTTGATTTGTATGTCATTGTTTACATTATATATACACCTTTGTCTTGTGCTTGACGTGTATGCCATTGCTTTCTCTATGTACTGTATACTATTGTTTTGGCTTAACGCCATTGTTTTCACTATATACGTTTGTTTTGACTGGAACGCCATTATTTCTGTATGCATTGTTTACCATTGTTTCGTGCTTGACTGGTACGCCGTTGCTTTCTGTATGCACTGTATACCTGTCTCGTGATTGACTTTAACACTATAGTTTTTTGTATGCATTGTATACCATTGTTGTATGTTTACCCTGTATGCCATGGTTTTGTGCTTGACTTGTTCTGCAATATAATAGACCTGGTAGCTTGTTGTTATTTTATGCAATTATTTATGTGTGCAAATCTCTGTTTTAATTATCGCTTATTATATTCGTATAGTTAAATTGTATTATTGTGCTATTAACTTGAAACAATGACTTCATTTATCCATACACAAATGCAATAGTCTTTGCTTGCATTCTACATTTTATGTTGATATTACTGTATAATTCATTGTCACAATTAAATGTGTGATTATCATTACATTAGCTCGTCATTCTTTCATATTTGTATTCCATGATTGCATCCAGTATGACATTGTTCATAGTCCAAATGCAGTTATTTACAGTTTGCATGTTACTGTTCTGTGCATGTATGCCGTCGTTTAATGTCATTAAGTCCATATCCAATACCAGTATGCAATTATTCAAAAATGTACATTAAAAACCGGTATACCAATTTGAAAAAAAAACTTTATTGAAATAGTTAATTATTCTATTCTATTTGATGTATGCTAAAATTGTATATAGTTTGGTCATTATATTAACTTTAGTGCTCGAAACAATTTGAATAGAGTAATTTCATTATTTATAAATTTTTATACACTATTTAGCACAAGTCAGATTTACTGTTATTGCTTAACCCTTAACTTAATTTGTGTAGTGGAATTGCCAAGCTTTGAATTATCAACAGTTCATTCAAAGTTTAAGGAGTTCTATATCAAAATACAAAAAAAATGATCTACCAACAGTATAGAGCCTGGTCAGACTGCACGGATGTTCCGGCTGGCCTGGCTCTATACTGGCCACGTAGGCTTACACTTTCTATTCCAGCAGAAAAAATATTGATACAGGTATGTCACTGACACCAGTGTGTCTAAGTATGGAAATAATCGACTCTTGAGGAATTATTTATCCACCTATATAGCAATTATCTTGATAAAAAAAACTTGATCCTATCTACAGAATGTTTTCTATTTTTAGTTTTTCATTTTACTCGCAATGAGCCAGGCTTATTTTGTAATAATTTTCTTTTCTTATTTATTTTAGAATTATAGGGACATTACAGAATAATCAGGAATTTTCCGACGTGTTTAACTGTCCAGTAGGAAGTTATATGAATCCAGAACAGAAGTGCCATGTGTGGTGATAGTAGTTGTTATATACCATTGTGCAGTGTATGGTTTTTTAAACCATTTTTGTTTGTGTTATTCTAATTCAGGCTTGACAATTCGAGATTTAATCCGATATAGATATAATTGAAGCAACTAAGTGTGTTAAACATGCATCTAGTGATGATTCTGATTATATAAATGGTCTACATATAACAAATCAGAACAAAGAAAGGGACACACACAAAAACTTGTTTAAGATGCATGCAATCTTAAAATATAACTTTTGATATGCATATGGATAAAACAGAAGTGATAATGTGTATAGAGAGATTGAGATTTGATTTTACTGAGAAATTAGTTTCAATGTAAGAATACCTGTAAACATACGACTATATGTAAGTATGAGTCGAGAATTTGTCACCCATTAGCATTATGTTTACCGAGTGTGTTGCATAAATTGGTGAACCTCCTAAAATATTATGCATGGAAGTATATTTTTATGCATTGAATATAAACAGGATATTTAATTAGTACTCTTTTACTAGTATATGTTTAACAAATTTTGTCATGTTTCGCAACCCTCTGTGTCGTATACAATACACAGATTAAATATGCGCCAAGATGACTCAAAGGAACAAATATTCTGGAAATTGTAGATTCCTCGAAAGAATGTTCTTTATTTCCAAAGGACTAGAAAATTACAACAACACAACTCTGACAATATGTCATGGAAAAAATAATCTGGAAAAGGGGAGATCTTCGGGAGCAATGAAGTAACAGTTGCAAAGTCAGTCGGATTGAGTTCACGTGAGAAAATCAATAGTGCAACATCTTTTACGCCCCCTAGCACCGGCTTAAGCAAACCAGCGTTTTAGCAACACAAGCTTTTATGCAGCGGGAAGTGACGGAAATTGACGAACATACACGAATACCTCAAACATTTTTACCGATGGCGATATTAATTATTGAAAATTGAAGAAATGCAAGCTTTTAAAAATGAGAATGTGAATAGAGAAAAACAATTCATAAAAAAATAAATTATTATGTATTTTTCATTCATTTCAGAAATCAGGTTTTCCTCTCATTTTTTAGAATAAACTTTACTATCATTCTTTGACTTCACATGGGATATTATTTCTTATTTTAAAATAGGATTCTTCTTTTTAAATAGGACTGTTCTCCCATTCTGGGTAAGAGAATTATCTCCCAATGTTAAGTCCGATGATAGATACATATAAATAAATAAACTATTTAACCACTAATACAACATATTTATGATATTATGAAATTGCTGGTTTTACCCATGATTTTTCTCGTTGAAGTTTTTATCACATGTTTGTTCGTTTTGTTTATTTTTGGCCGGGTTGCATTGGTGCAAACCCGGGTTAAAGTATCTGCATGTCGGGCGGGCGGGGAAAAATTTTCGTGACAGTTTTCTCAGCAACTACTTATCACAGCCCCTTGATATTTGGTATACAGCATCATCACATGGTCCCATAATATGGGATTTGATTTCAGGTCTGTCGCTCATCCACTTCCTGTTTGCCAACTTAGTTAAACTTTCAACAGTAATGGTCAATGGTAGGAAATTTTCGTAACAGTTTTCTCAGCAAGCACTTATCACAGCCTCTTGATATTTGGCATACAGCATTGACACATGGTCCCATACCGTGGGATTGGATTTCAGGTCTGTCGCTCATCTACTTCCTGTTTATCGACTTAGTTTAATTTTCGACATTAATGGTCAATGGTAGGAAATTTTGGAAACAATTTTCTCAGCAAGCACTTATCACAGCCTCTTGATATTTGGCATACAGCATTGACACATGGTCCCATACTGTGGGATTTGGTTTCAGGTCTGTCGCTTATCCACTTCCTGTTTAACAACTTAGTTAAATTTTCGACATTAATGGTCAGTGGTAGGAAATTTTCATAACAGTTTTCTCAGCAACTACTCATCACAGCCTCTTGATATTTGGCATACAGCATTGCCACAGGGTTGCATACGGTGGATTAGATTTCAAGTCTGTCGCTCATCCACTTCCTGTTTAACGACTTAGTTAAATTTTTGACATTAATGGTCAATGGTAAACATTTTTTGTAACATCACAGCCTCATAATATTTGGTATACAAATGCAACCCGGCCTTTTCTGTCTTTGACCCATTTTTTTTAATTGGATATCCTGTGGATATAAAATATCATTTGTGTAATATATTGGTATATCCAAATACAGGCTTATAAGCCAAAAATGTTAAAATTCGTTTGATATCACATGCCATGGTATTTAAAAAAAGCCGATGAGGTTTCAAATTCCCATGGGATAACCTACTTCAATCGCTTATGCAGGTTTTTTGTTATTTCACTCGAACTTGAGTCTAAAAAGAACAATTCAAAAGCCCCAGAAATGTTTCTCTAAAGCTTTGTAATTTTCGTGCCCTTTTTGAATTTTAAAAAAAGATACTCATTGGCTATTTACCTAAACCATTTATTATTCGTTTCTGAGTCATATTGTTTAGCACTGGTTTTATTCTTCTATAGGCACGCTTTTCGTGTTCCATTATCCAAGTGCATCTATTATATGATTCTTCTACCATCAGATTTGGCAAAAAAATAAAAATTAGCAGATGCCACGTTAAATTAAAATTATTTTTTAAAAGGTTGCATTTTAACCAATCAAGAGACGCGAAAAAAACAAAATATGATAAAAACGGTATAAGATAAGAAAAATGCGGTCTTTTCTCGAGTTAAAATAGTTTCACTAAATGTATCGATTTTCACCTACTTTCCTTAAGAGTGCCTCATTTGTATTGAATTTAATGTATTGTATTTAATTGTCCATTCAATATTTGTAATTGTTTATTTATATTTTTGAAAAATAAAGTGTTCTACAGAAAAATCACAATATTGTGTACGTCTGTTTTTTTGTCAAAATAGCGAACAAAAGTTGACAAAGAGCCACTATTTTACAGAGCAAAATAATATGCTATGGTAATTTGTAGTTATTATGTAAGTTGATGAAAGTCAGTCATTAGAAAGAACCTAACTGAAAGCAAGCGTTGCTTGAATTAGATGATTGCTAACCGCACTGAAAATAGCATATGCATATTTTATAAGGGAATGTTCTAAAATTCATTAAAGGCGTGTTTTATTAAAATTAAATTAAAAGGTCACAACTCATTACAAAAAAACTGAGACAAGAGAGCACTACTAAAAATTGCTTATAATAAGATCTATGTCTAATTTCAGGTCTTAAATTTGTGGTTTTACACACTTAAATAAATATGTTGACAAATTTAACGACTGAGACTAAAATTTTAAAAATCATCATTGTGATAATATAAAATGAACCCATGGGCTGGGTCAAGTTTTCACACCAGTGGCATTTGCAGAAGTCCACTTGGCAGTTGTAAATGCCAAAGATAGGTAAGTTCTGGAACATAAAGTTTTCCCATAATGGTCTACTGAAAGTATGTTAACTAAGTGACCAAGACCAGACAACGCGGATCCGCCGGTGATGTTGGTTTGCACTGTGGTCGGATGGGGTAAAATCTGTGGCTGTCACCAGACTAAGTGCTAACCTGGGACAGAAGATAACAATTTTAAGAGTTTTACATAACTTGTATTGTTTCTGAAATCTGTAAGTTGGTTACATAGAGAAGTTAAAGCAATGGAAATGACCACAGGCTTTACTACTTATTTTTTATAAATGATTTATAAAACTTTTGAACAGATAAAATAGCCAAAATAGTCAAAGCTGTGTCCTTGTATTTCTGGACAAGAAGATTTTCAAGAAGTTGCAAATTGGTTGCCTTGGTATTCAGAGTCCTCAGCATTCAATAAAATCGATTAAACAGCTGTGTTAGGGATTCAATCAAAGAACATTTGTACCATGTTTTATCAGCACTGAATTAGTGAATTCGGAGCAGATGTTGTTTGAAGATAAATGTAAAAGGAAGTATCTCGGTGCCAGATAAGGAGTGATCTGTAAAGCTTACTCTGGTACTGTTTGCCAGATGCAAAAAAAATAACTTGATTATTTAGAATTAAGGTATTCTAACAAATATGTCCAACCATCCTCTTTGTAGAAAATAACAACAAAAATATTGCATATAAAATTCTTTTAATGTCAAATAAGTATTAAATACATGTATGTGATAAAAATCTAAAAACTATGCAAAAAATCAACTTTTATCCATTAATTAAACTATATTAAAAGCTGCAGTTTTATCTGAAAACAAAAAGAAATCTTAATCTAAAACTACAGCTTTTTTTCTTCTTTTCTCTCAACCCTTACCCCCTGCATTAATTACATGTAATGTACACTAGTCATGAACTGTTTTGAATTTGAAACAGTCCATTATAAGCTTGAGGTATTTCAAAATCAAAACAACAAAATAAAGCAGGGCAATATCAAAGAGCCTAACAGGGCTATACAGATGTCCAGGCTAGCCTGGCAGTATACAGATCGTTTAGACGAAGTAATTATGGCAGCTACCCCTGGCAGTGTTATAATTTATAATTATTATACTACATTCATTATAATTCATAGAACTACATTTTTTATAATTCAATCAATGACAATGACAATTTGAAAGAATAGAATCAGCTTTACTGGTGGAGGAAGACCTCCGGTTCCCTTTTCTGTGCATTATTTCAGGCATAAGGAGGCACCTGAGTAGAACCATCAATTTTCTGTAAATAATTTAATAATCATCATTGTTATAATTCAGTCAGTAAAAAAACTAGACAAAAGTAAAACGTAATCCTGAAATTCATTTTCAATTTATTTTTGTTCTTTCCATGGAAGACAAAAATTTTACATTTTTGTATTTATTTTTCATTCTAAATTACAAGAACAAGCTGGATGCTACATAAAAAACATATACAGTATATATCTTCAGCTGTAAAATATAATTCCTATGAAAATTATAAAAAGCGAATGGAGTGTGATGAAATGGAAAATAAGCAATGAAAATTTGTAAGTTTCAGATTTCTTGTCTATTTCTTTACACAATAAAGTTTCTTATATTTTCAATTATACATCAGTAAACTTAAGCTTCATTAAAGTTAATTTTGTCAGAGTCAAAACTTCGAAAGATGATACTGCTTAAATGACAAAAAGTTACGCATTAGTTGCAAAAATTAAGTATTGGCAGGAAAGACGCCTTCCTGTAAGTATTGGTGTTAGGAGACCGAATAAAAAGACATATTTTTCTTAAACTTTAAATTTTAAAATTTCCCTGATAAAAAACATTATTTACAAAAGAATGCCCTAATAACTTTAACAACCATGAAGCAAGTCAGGTGAAACAAGGGTAAATCTAAATGCCCCCACCCCCTAAAGTTGGGGCACAAAAAGCCAAAAATCACAAATCTTTTCTCAACAAACTTTTATACATAATATTTATAAATGAATCATTATTTTCAGTCAAATACTTACATTATTTTAAGACAACAAATAAATATGTGATAGATCAGGACAAATTTTACCCTTCTTCATGTTTCATAAAGATCATGATTATTCATGATTCTTATCTCTTTACATGGGGAAATTTTTATCGAACTTTGTCCAACTTCCATACAGTAGGGACCAGCTTTAGAAATGTCAAGATAAAAAAGTTGGAAGTAAGTCAGCCAATAGTGTAGAGGCTGGCCATAATGCCGTGATGAGCTGTCTTGATTGGCTAGAGTCTAGTAATAAATGCCGTTGTAATTTTAACATTATAATTGTTAATATCTAAATAAGTTAATGTCCTTAAATAATAAGAATTTTCAAGAATTTTTTAGGATAGAGTCAGCGCCACGCCCAAACATTGGATTTCACTATCTAATCTTCACACTTATTGCTTATATACAAAAAGTAGCAACAATAGTTTGCACAATACAAATCCTTGGTGACAAAGTATTAAGCAAGAAGTCTCTAACAACAACAACAACATATACTATGTGTACATACATAAAACATGAGAAAAACATGCAAGAAAATTGTTAATCAAAATTATTATCATTTATTCAATGTGGCATCATTCCTAGAAAATTATCAGTTATGATGATTTCTCAATACATGTAGCTTCTGGAGAATTCAAGTCAAATTATGTTAACATTGCTAAGAATAAGACCAATATTGGCTCTATGGAGCATTTTTACAGACTGTAACAAGCTACAGTACAACCACCAACCTCTTGTAGGTAATCTGAACATTATCTTATAATTATGATATCATATTATATTGTTGTTTTCGGTGCTTCCGAGGGATCAACCATTTTCCAGATTTGAATAACATTGATGGGAAAGCAACCCATAATAGCACCGGGGAAAGTGATTTTAGTCAGCACACCATGACCACTTTAACCACAGAGACCCTGCCCCATTATGAATTAATACTATTATCATTTTGAGGTAGAGAATTTTTGTTTTTAAAACTTTTTTGTTTTCAATACCTTGTAACAAAATAACATTCCATCACCTTAGTGCTGTAATAGGTTAACTCCTAAATATATAATTGGATAGAAATTAACCCATTTCTGCACTAAGCCGACAATTTGCCTGGTTAAATGTTAGAAGCTAAAATCATAACCTTATGTAAAGTACTGTGATCATGAAAAACTATCATAAATTTGCAAATAAATAAATATCATCAGATACATGTAGATCTAATAAAAAATACAAAAAGATTCTTGTAGTAAAGATCTCACGTAATAAACAAAATTTACTAAAATTTGTGTATGATCAAAGAATATAGCCTGGAGAGCTGTAATATTGATGTACTAAATGTTTCATTAATCTCTGCCTTGAATTTAAATGGTAAATTCATAATTTCAATATAATGTGTTAAGAAGACAAATTTAATATAACCATTGCATTTATTGTTAAACTGGGTCACCATTGTATTTTTTTGTTAAATTGGGTCGAACATATTTTACAAAGTATTTGATAATACAAATGTACAAAGTTTACATAAAGTTTCAACAAAAGAGTTTCTGATATGAAATATATTGTATTTATAGGGGTGAGATACACTTGGCAGATTATGGTGCAGAGTTAACATATTTTGAAAAAAATTGTGATACAAAAAAAAGTTTTAAGGCATTGGGATGATTTCCAAAGACCATTCAGTTTTTCACACCTAGAGAATTATTTCTACCCATCCCCGTCATACAAAAAATATTTAAAGATAGAATGAACATTATTTAACCTTCTTTATCCAGATTAAAAAATACATAAAACATTTAAAAAAAACTTGAACAAACCATATAGCCATTTAATTAAAAGCCATTTATTTGTATATCTTAATATAGACAAGCAACACAGCAAACAAAACAAAGCCATGTTTTCCCAACACAGCCTGGGACTTAAACCCCATTGGCTTCCAAATTTTCCTCAGGTACTAAGATGGAGCAGAAATAACAGTACATATTATTGTTCTCAACTAAAACATCACATAAATAAAATATTTTTTATATTTACTTTGTCACTTTAAAGCATTCATTTTCATTTCAAAAAGCAGCAAATTGTGCTTGATATTTTGTCTGTTTGGTTTTTACACCAATTTCAACACATATTTTAGTTATATCTCAGCTTTTGGACAACCTTAAAAAACTTTCCTGGATAACTATTTACTAATAATTACCAAATTCTCATCAAGTGACCACCAACTAATTCCACATGATTTCTGAATATTTATTTATTTATTTTTTAATCTTATGTTTCAATATACCATCAGACAATGGCATGGTATGCTAAATATTTAGGGGCTGAAACCCTTAACCTGCTGAAGCCAAAAGTGATAAGCCTTTGCCACCAGTATAGAGCCAGGCCAGCCTGCATTTCCATGTACAAAATAAAGTCTGACCAGGCTCTATACTGTTGGTAGTTCCCCCTTAAACTTTCAATGGACTGTTCCGAATTCATAGCAGGACAAATCCATAACACACATTTAGGGGTTTAATGGGTAACTTATTGTACAATGTATTTATTTTCTTTGTTGTAATTTTTATTCAGTTGGGTTTTCAGTCACATTGACACAGTCAAGGTCATATGGTGACTTTCCAATTTTACTTGTGGAAAGAATATTTTGTGCGTCTCCATGTATACAGTTGGAACCAGTACAGGGGAAAATAATGAAAGATAATATATCAAAATAAACATTATATAAAAAATAACGGGGCAAAATTATGTTACAATAACACATGCAATACCTACTAAATACAAGTAACTATTTCTAAAACACAAAACTTCATTTACATGTTGCTATATTCAAGTTTATATTAATAATCTCATGTTATGAAATATATTAAACAAATAACATTCAACAAATATTATCTAATACACTAACAATTTCAGCGGAAAAAAAATAGAGACAAAATATAAACATGCTCTATATAACCTTATCTATCTTCACTATGGATTCAATATAGAGGATATTGAAAAAGTGTAGGTTAATTACTGAATTTATTGAACAAGTGTAGGTTCAATACTGAATTTATTGAACAAGTGTAGGTTCAATACTGAATTTATTGAACAAGTGTAGGTTCAATACTGAATTTATTGAACAAGTGTATGTTCAATACTGAATTAATTGAACTAGTGTAGGTTCATTACTGAATTTATTGAACAAGTTTAATAAAATAAAATTGTTTTACAACACTTTCAAAAAAATTAGTAATGAACCTACAGGAATATAATATTTTATTTATCATATAATTAGCATAAAAATTGTTTACAGTAAAATTGAAACATTTTATCATCTATGTGCAATATAACCTCGCTTTCACTAATGTTTGTACATAAATGATGTAACTTTAAAAGTTATTACACATGTGTAATATTATTTTCATCAAATAGATTTATTACACTCCTGTGCCGTTGTTTATATGATAAATTGTGTTTATGAATAATTAAGTAAGTTTAACTGTTAAATTTGTTATATTTGAACATGAAATTCAACATTTAATGCACTTGGAGATATCACATACATGTATGTTTTTATTTTCATTTCTTTGTCAACTTTATCATGTTCCATGACAACACAGTTTAAATTGTTTTGAAAATGGCAGGAAAATGATTACTCAAAACTGTGAACAAATTATGATATGCAAATTGTTCAAAGTTTCATTAAAGACAAACTCGAAATTAAATTATTTCGAGGCTCTTGAAATTTAATTGCGGAGAGACAGCTGTCCAAAATCAGGGTAAAATCTTTCACTCAATGTTTAAAGATATACTATGCTCAAATCAGAAAATATTGATAATTGCTACATAGTCTCTTTGTAAATATGAATATAAACATGTTTTGACTTCACACAAAGTTGATATGTCATGTTTAAAACTCTACAAACTATAGGTCGTCACAATATGAATATATACTGTCGTTAAAAAAACTGGCAGTTTTTTTAAGAAAATACCAACTTTACTTGCCCTATAATAGAGAACGTGACTTCCAATGCATAGTTTTATTCATTTTCTATTCAAATTAGACATATTCAGTACGAATTGCATAGGTTTTAATAAATTTCTTTGATGAAAATATTTTACTCAAAGATGAGCATAGTATATCTTCAAGACTTTTCCATTTTTGACGGTAAAAATGAAACCCCAAGGTTTGTCAGGTTCTTGATCATTTATACGATTATTTTCATTTTCTAAAGAAGCAGATCATGAAAATCGCCAAAAGTCATACAAAATTCTACTGAGGTAACTATAATGTAACTGTAACACAATACATAATATATACAAATACATTGTATGTGTAAACTACAGTAACATGTGCTGGGGTGGTGCATTTACAAACTCATGTAAACTACACTATTTTAGTTACATTTTACAAACATGTTAATATGTGTATAACTCTTAAAATTTCACTACACTAGACATAAAAAAACACTAACATTTCCTTCACAAGAAAAATATTTCATCCATTTCTGGCACTCTTGATGCAACTTTTCTTCCCTGAACAAAATTTTGGAAAATATATGAGTCTAAATTTTTCATTCAAAATTATCATATTATGAATTTTTTACCATCTCTTTAGACAAATATCTTTACAGTATTTATACATATTATTAGTTTATAATATTGAAAAATGTGTAAAATATACTACTTTAATATAACAAAATCATTTCATCTGCTTTTCGATAAGTTAATGTTCATGTATGTTAACTTTTAAAAAAAAATCTAGTCAGCTTTTATGAATTGGGTCAAAGTGACAAAATCAAGTCAATGTTCCAAAATTAGGTCAAAGTTGACAGAATCAAGTCAATGTTCCAAAATTAGGTCAAAGTTGACAGAATCAAGTCAATGTTCCAAAATTAGGTCAAAGTTGACAGAATCAAGTCAATGTTCCAAAATTAGGTCAAAGTTGACAGAATCAAGTCAATGTTCAAAAATTAGGTCAAAGTTGACAGAATCATATAAAACATGACAGCCGCAGCCAGTTGTGAAAACACTACTGCGTATCATAAACTGAAACTACAATAAAGCACTATCTAATTATTGCGATCTCGATCCAACTGACTAACACAGTCAGGTAGCAGGGTTCTGTTTACAAAACAAGTGCCTACTAATAACAATATAATATCAATTTTTTAAAACTAAAAAAGTTTCTATTTAAAAGGTGCCGGCATACATTTAAGTCGTTCGAATGCAGCTTGTTCCAGACTCTCTCTATGATCCGGATGAGCAATCTGAATTAGTTCATAGGCTCGTTCTCGTAAACTTTTGCCGAAAAGATACGCTATACCGTATTCTGTGACAACATAATGAACGTGGGCACGTGTTGTGACAACACCAGATCCTGTAATAACAAAAGTTGTGTCATAATTACTTAGTTTATGGCACATTATGCCTCTAAATGCTTTAATTTTTATTTCTCACAAGTCTTATTTCTCACATGTCTTTTTTAATTTTTGGTGTCCCTTTATAATTTTCAAAAAGTTACTCCTTGGCCAAAATCTCTGAACCATCTTTTTGCTTCTTTCACTTTTTGGTAATTAGTAAAGTTACAGGGATTTAGTATTTTGTACGAAAGTCAAAATACTACTTTGTTCATAATAATTGCCTAAAATATGAAAAAAATTGCCCAACAATTTTTATCAACTGAATGATTCCAATACCTTCCGGAGGATATTTTACCTGTACACGCACCATTTAAGCTTGGATAGGCATAAAGTTACCTAGTTTTTGAGTTGGTGCCGCATAAATCTTACCTAGTTTCAGAGTTGGTACAATTTTAGTTTCTCCTCGTCTAGTGGCAGACGGCATGGCTATAATAGGTTTACCTCTACCATCCAAACATATAGCTGCCCCTCGAATAAAATCTATTTGACCTCCGAACCCTGTAAGATATAAATATAAAATATAACATACTGTATGTTGTATCTGTTTTATAAACATATACCATTATCACAATCCCCAAGGGTTGGAAATACCTTATCTTTAACAATGTAAGTTTGAATATAGAAATCAACTCCAGTTTCAATCTAAAAATGTAATTATTTTATATGAAAAATATACAACGTTTCGACTCAAAAGTCTTCATCAGGTATACTTTGTTTACAGGAAATGACGTCAACGTCATATGACGTCAAGAACAACGACGTCAAAATGTAATACATAATTTTCTTTAACAAAAAATTTATAATTTCCATCATTAGTAATCTTGTAACCTAAATAATTATTTAACCTTTGAAAAAATTACTTAAAGTTGAAAATATGTTTGTGTTATAGAGGCTATGGGCTTTACATTAACTGTTCTTTACAGACAGAAATCTGACCATTTCTCAGTTAAAAAAAATATATCAAAAAGTAACATTTCGAAATAATGAATTTTTCATGATTATATTGTGTGTGATGTTTTCCATTTTGTGTTTGTAAATTTTCTATTGTAATATTACAGATTAATGTGAATAAATAGATAAACAAGCAATTATCATAGTATTGCAAGCAATCCATGAGTCCCCTACCGGTTAGAACCCCAGCAACAATCTGATGGGCCATTGGCCGTTCAATTTTACCAGTGAATGAATGACATGAATGAACTTAAATCTTTTGAGTTCTAAGTTTGTCTATATCACAGTAAGTTTCCCTGCCCTAGTAAGGAAATTATGTTTATACAACCCTGTCATATTATTACAATGTGGGATTTTAAAGTAAATCCTAAAAGGAATGAAGAAGTTGGAGTAAAAAATACCAATTTCTTGAAAAAAATCTAAGTTAAAGGGGGACATAATTCTGGAAATAGTCTTGCTAGAGTATTTAACCTTCACAAAAATGTTGAGTGATAATAAGAAACATATATATGAAGTTTGAAGTAGATACATTAGGAAATAAAGAAGTTATTTAAAAAAGACAACTTTTTTCATAAAAATTCTATGTTCAAGGGAGGTAATACTGATAATTTTTGTGCTAGAGTTGTAAACCTTGTCACATATGATGTAGTTGATGACCAGAAACTTATATTTAAAGTTTGAAGTAAACACCTTAAGAAATAAAGAACTTATAGTAAAAAAGCTGAAAAATTTAAATCAGAAATCTTGAAATTCAGGCTATTTGTTGCCATAGCAACCAGAATTTTCAACATAGGAAGAAAAGAAAAAGATGTGCATAATCTCCAGACTGCCATCTACCCATATTTCAAGTTTCATAAAAATATTTTTAGTACTTTTTGAATTATCACTGGATCCAGTTTATGTGTTAAATTTGCCATATTTTCAGACTATTTGTTGCCATAGCAACCAGAATTTTCAACATAGGAAGAAAAGAAAAAGATGTGCATAATCTCCAGACTGCCATCTACCCATATTTCAAGTTTCATAAAAGTATTTTCAGTACTTTTTGAGTTATCACTGGATCCAGTTTCTGTGTTAAATTTGCCATATTTTCAGACTATTTGTTGCCATAGCAACCAGAATTTTCAACATAGGAAATAAAGAGAAAGACGTGCATAATCTCCATACTGCCATCTATCCATATACCAAGTTTCATAAAAATATTTTTAGTACTTTTTGCGTTATCGCGGGATCCAGTTTTGTGGACGGATGGACAGACAGACGGACGGACAGACGGACGTTCTCACAGGAGAGTAATTATGTGGCTACTCTATTGTTCTCTCTATTGTTCTTTTTAGCCACACAAAAGAAAATAGCCACATAAAAGCATTACGGAATGAATGACATCAAAGAGAAACAACAGTTACCTATTGTCCCTCTAGCCACATAATTATTCTCCTGTGAGTGCGGACGGACGGACGGACGGAGGGTAAACCTAAAGTCCCCTCCGGTTAAACCGGTAGGGGACTCATAAGAAGAACATAGATGTGAACTATTCCAGTTTAATCTAAGAACTGGTCTATGGCGTGAATCGCCTGTCTAAAATAAAAGCTGCCCATTCAAGTGTTCAAAGAATGGACCTATCATGTAAAGGTCAAGTTTAAGTGTATAGGTCAAACTGATATCATTACACTGCGTGCACTGGCCACCCTATGAAGTATCAAAGAGTGAGACTAAAAAAAGCATTGGAGCACCACACTAAATACCATATTCTGGTAAATACCGGACAAGGTGCTTGAGTGGTTAAATGCTAAAATCTTGCCTTTTTTGAATGAACTTTCAAATGTCTAATTCATCTTTTCACACCAATTTATATACGAAAATGAATGAAAAATGTAATAATCGGCGAAAAAAAACAACAATATTTGACTATTTTGTGATCATGATTTCTGCAAGCGTCTAGAGACACTGCTCCAGTCTTGTAATGGGTTAAATCCAGTATGAAATGCTAGACTTACCTGAGTAAATTCTTGTACCGATAGAGTCAGCACATATCTGACCTGTGAGATCGACCTCGATACACGAGTTAATGGCCGTCACCTTTGGATTCTGACAAATTACTGCAGAATTGTTCGTGAAAGCTACATCACACATTTCTGTTAAAAAAAAACAACAGTAAAGTATGTAAATGAACAATAAAGTGTGTAAATAGAAAACACAAAATATAAACAGACAAATAGAAAACATAATTTTTAACCTAGGAAATGTGTCGCAACACCACAAATGCCCCCACTGTAGCCAAAATTTCAAATGTTATAATAATATTTAGTTACAAATTTGTTTGCACATAAACCATTTTTTCATTGACAGTCTAAGGCCCTTAAACTATTCAATGTTAACACAAACCATTTTTATACAAAGTTTGAGGCCCTTAAACTATTCAGTGTTAACCTTTTGCAAATTGCATATTGGTAGCCAAATTAATGATTAGAAATTGTAAATTTTTAAATCTTTTCCAAAATCAAGGGAGATAACTGTTAAAAAACATCTGACCATGACCAAATTATAAATATTCTGGCAAAATACCAGCACATGCAATGTCAACCTCGGACATACATTCCAGGATCCTACAGAAATTAAGAGCATAAACTGAAAATTCAAAGAACAAAATATAAAAGGACAAGCACCACCTTATCATGTTGTCTGTTAGATCATTCATAAACTGGCTCATTCTACTCGGCCCCTGTAACATATTGGAATTTTGCAATATGATGGGTGACCTTTAATGTTTCCATCTTGACTGTAAATGAGCCGTGTCATGACAAAACCAACATAATGGGTTTGCGACCAGCATGGTTCCAGACCAGCCTGCGCATCCGCGCAGTCTGATCAGGATCCATGCTGTTCGCTTACAAACCCTATTAGTTTCTCTACTTCTAATAGGGTTTGTAAGCGAACAGCATGGATCCTGATCAGACTGCGCGGATGCGCAGGCTGATCTGGATCCACGCTGGTCGCAAACCCATTATGTTGGTTTTGTCATGACGCGGCTCAAATAAGTTATTAGCTTCACCTACCTACAAATGGATTATTATTCATGAAGTCGTATAAACGTTTAGTCCCGACAGCAAAACTGCTAGTTATCTTTCCTGTCATAATGGTTTTCTCTGTGTTAGTTATTGCACCCTTCTCACACAGGTCAACGACCCCATCTGAGAACATCTCCGAGTGGACACCGAGATTTTTATGATTTCCCAGCTGGGCCAATACAGCGTCCGGTATAGCGCCTATACCTATAAAATACATTGATGATACATTACCAAAGTGAAAGTAAAATTTGGAGAATTTTCATTGGCTGACATGCTCTGTACAATTCAACAAGTCAGAGTCATACAAATAAACTGCCAAAGGGTTCAAAATCAGCAAACTTAACTAAAGCAAGAACTGGACTTTCCATAAACTCTAATTCTGCTGAATTTTTTAAATGGACATGTTGAATTTAAACATTTTTGAAACTGTCTGTATACAGATTTGGGGATATAAGATAAAACTTTTAAAGGGACTCCACTGAACTTTTTTGACATGATGGGACTAAAAATATTTTATCAAGATTAATGTTCATTTTGATGTAGATCTTGATCAATTACTTGTGTGCAAAATTTCAGATCATTTGGTCACTTTTTTTTCTAGAATAAATATTTTCTAATTGTTGACAATAAGACAAAATTGAAAAGCATAGCAACGCTTTCCAGGGAAATATGACTAAGAATATCACAACAAGATGATTAATTCTTAATCTATTTCTGAGTATATTTCAAACTTATCTTTTTTCCACATGATCTCTGTAAGAAATTCAAATTCTGTTTTCGAGGCTTTTGGAGCCAGTTGTGTTCCTTTAAGTTGGCCCCCATAACAGTACAGAGCCTTGATAAACTTTGTAGATGATTAGGCAGACCTGGCTGTATCAAGGTGGCCAAAACTGTTCACTACCTAATCCAGCAGCTGTATAAAGGTGGCCAAGTCTGTTCACTACCGAATCCAGCATTCTATATGAGCCGGGTCATGACAAAACCAACATAATGCGTTTGCGACCAGCATGGATCCAGACCAGCCTGCGCATCCCCGCAGTCTGATCAGGATCCATGCTGTTCGCTTAAAAACCCTATAATAAGTAGAGAAACTGACAGGGAACAGCATAGATCCTGATCAGACTGCGCGGAGGCACAGGCTGGTCTGGATCCATGCTGGTCGCAAACCCATTATGTTGGTTTTGTCGTGACGCAGCTCATATAAAGGTTTACACTTTCATACATAACATTTACATGACATATACCTTACTCTCTATGCAAATATATACACAAAATAATCCTGTATGATGACCCTCCTACATTGTTTTGTTTTTTTTGGGGGTCATTATCATAATTTATGCATAAATCATTCAAATTAATTACCCATCTGTAGTGTGGCACCATCTTCTACCAAATTTTCAGCAACCAGTTTCCCGATTTGTTCCTCTTCTGGAGACAGTTCGCCAATTTGCATTTCATGAAGAGGCTCATCCCACTGCACCATGGCGTCTACGTGAGATTCGTGAATTATACCATCGCCAAATGTCCGTGGTATATGTTTATTTACCTGAGCTGAAAAAGTAAGAATCATTTTTGGAAAATATTACGTTGAGACGATATATTATCAACTAACAATTAGACCGGGTCATAAAATTTGCTTAAAATCTACAAAAAACATATGAAAGTATTGTATAATTGTGTGTTTATAGCTATGGTACCATTAATTTCAAATTAAGTAACCGTTAATGATTAAACTAGAAATGTGACCAGATTGGACATGGACAGATGCCCTTATGTTTCACTGTTTCGTCAGTCTAAGGTGGATGGATAAGGGCAAACTACACCCCCTGCCCCAGTAAGTGCGGGCATAAAACCTGCATCTCGTACCTCTTTACATGGAAGGGATGAAGTACGGGAAAAGATTAATTACACATTTCACTTACCAATAATGTATTTAGCATTCTGTATGGCAGATCTTGTGCAGTCTACACTTGTCCCTAGAGAACAGAACCCGTGTTTGTCTGGGGGGCTCACTGACACAAGTGCTATATCCAGGCCTATAATCTAGGAACACACAAAAAAACCATTAAATATATACATGTATATTAAACAGCTAATAAACAAATGTTATTATTTTGATAAAACTGAAACAAGATAGATATGAAAAAAACATATGTTTGTATAATGCAAGTGACATCACATCAAAAATAGACAAAATATAGGCACGACTATGCCATACAATTTTTACAAAGTCCTAAAAATGGCACTGATGTGTGATGAAGATCCTGAGGTACTAACTACATTTCTGTCAATCAATGAACATATTATGAGGAAAGGTATGTAACTGTGAAGTAAAGTCTGGTGGAAGGGCAAACAGGCTATTTTGCCTGCCATAATATTTCAGGAAGCATTAAACTTTGTCACTGAAAGCCAGAACGAAATTAGTTTACCTTTATATCACCATCACTTCAACATTATTTATTAACCTTAGTAGAGAAACCATCTTAAAAACTAGAACTGTGTCCAAAGGACAAATTTGGTGGCAGCGAAAATTCCTTCCTTTACTACCATCTACACATTAAAGGGTTTTTCATCCCCGGGAGTTTAACAAAAAACTCCTCCCCGGGTTTAAGAGGAGTTTGGTTCACAAAATTTTTGGGGGCTCGGACAGACGACTACGGAAGACCCACAAGTGCATTTATATGCTCCCCCTCGTGGGGGCTACAAATTCAATGTATCTTAAACAAGAGTGACCAGTGATCATATGTTTCGCCTCATGATAGCCAACTGCATGTTGCAGGTACTGTTTAGCAGGAGACGCAAAAATCATTAACAAGCTGATACGCCTTTCTTATTCAAGGGCCATAACTCAGCAAAAAATCATTCAACTGGAAAACTTTAATAATATGCTAAAATACTAGAGCTAATGATCAACCATGTAAAGCATTCATTCCACTCTAGTTGCACTGTACTTTCTAACTTATTATTACCTTGTGCCGAAACAACCTCGGGATTTCACTCAAAAATATTGGTATGGCATCAGCTCTCCCTTCATTGATGGCTTTACGCGAGTTACCACCGACAAACAGAGAGTTAGATCGAAACATGTCTGCAAAAGAAAAGGTGTCATTGGAATTATTTTATTAATATCCTAGATAATGCCTTTAATATTAGCAAATTCTTATTATACAGAACTTCTTCATTACAACAAATGACATCAATGTAATTTTAACTTTTAAACACTTCCATGGGTTATTTCAAGGTAATCACTTCTAATTTATGTCTTTAGTATATAGGAACAACAATACAAACTAAGGGTGTTTTGGGTTTTTTTTTTTAATATGACCCACACCTGTAAGTTTAATATGGGGTGTTCTTTACTAGATTGATCACAAGTAAAGAAGGCATTATCATTTTCATCAGCAGAATTTCTACAGAACTTTTACAGCCTAGGCATTTAACATAAACATTTACCACCTTTAGCACATTTTCCATAGGGAATTTTTCTCAATCTAAATGAAAAAGAATATACTGTTTACCATTAAGAATATATGATCAAATAACAGTTATAAAATAAGCGAAAGCCACAAAATATAAGAAAAAATAAATACTGGTTACTTACGATCATATTCTGGTTCATTGTACAATCCAGGTCCCTCAGTATGAATGTGCATTACTTCGCAGCCTCGAATGTCTGCCCTCGTGCCATGTCTACACATTGCCTCAATTAGATGACATGGGGTCGCAGCAGCACCATGCACAAATATTCTCTGACCTGGAATTATTGGTCCATTTTAACTGACAATTATTAACAAAAGAGTATCCATCACTGACATTGATTCTTTATTATTATACTTTCAAGACGGTAAATAAAAAAAAATAAAAAAATTTATAGTTATTTTACCCTGTGGAGTACTGGGGATAGCCTTACATTATCTATGCCTATAATGGAATATATACCATGGGTAACAGACAATGTGCAAAGTTGTATCACTGCGATAATTTAGGCCAACTCATTGTACTGTGTGACAAGATTAAGGCTCCCACGTTTACAATTGTTTGTTTAAAAACGTTTACACGATTGTTAAGAACCGAAATGGTACCGTTTAAACGTTAGTACGTCTATGTACTATACTACACCATGTATTCGAGTCGCAAAATGATGACTTAAATCCTATTTTAAATACATGTTATTTGTACAAGTTAATAATGTTCAGGGCTCATCATGATTGAGGCGGCACACATTTTCTGCATTGTCACGAGCGATTATTGCACGGTGATGGTGTCTGGCGGGTTGTAAACACCCATTTTCCATTTTTTTTATTTTGAAATAGATAAAATACATGATAAAATTCAATGATTAAGACAATATGGTCATTTCAATTAAACGGTAAAAAATATCGAAACCGTTTACAAATGAAAATCGAAACGAATCCGTTTAAACGTGTAACCGTGGGGGCTTTAGACGAGATATTGTGCTATTTTGTGTCAGGGCAATATATCTCGCGAGATTCTGACCCAGAAAGAAAATATCTCAGAATCTATGTTTGGCACATCAATATATTTTGACTATGTGATAATTGTGTTCAGCATTTGACTTTAATTGGGGATCGATATATATACAATTGTCAAAGTAGGGTCTTAATTTTCAAATAGAGAAACCCTAGTCAAATTTGTCATTTAGCTAGAATTAAACCCATTTTTAATTATTATATTCCTTTACAAGTTACAAAAAAATAACAGATTTTATCGTATAAGTACCTATTCTCACACCCAACCTATTCTCAAACCTTTCATTCATGTGCTGTTATTTTTTTACTAGAAGTGACTATGATGTCCTGTACTTGTGTGCATAAAAGCTTAGTTTCTGATAGACATGTCTGCTGATGTCAAATGAAAAACAGTGCATAGGAACAAATATTTACATAACATATTTTATTACTTTGCGTAATTTCATACAAATTGCTATTACCTTTGTAAGTCCCATTAATACACCATTAACTATTTGTGAAAATGAATATTATAGACAAAAATATCTTAAAGCATGTGCCTGCATCATGTAGGATACTTCACTGTCATGTGATAGTCATATAACAATCACTTATTTGGCTTAAATAAACAGTAGAATTTTAGAAATATTTGAAGGGGTTTGAGATTAGGTTCTTTATTTTAAGAGGCCATGTCAGTTTTAAAACAGAGGGTTGTGCTTTTCCGAGATGAAAATGGAGCTTTTATAATTGTTGAATTTCAGTCAAATTTGACAGAAATGTTACATAAAGATTAAAGTGTACATATGTAAAGAATTTTAATAAAGATATATTTTTATTTACACTAAAAGACCTCTTGAATGCTTAGAGGTTTGAGAACTGGTTAGTCCACGATAATATTTCAACTGCTCAAGAAATTTAGAAGTCTTGTCCCTTTGATACAGGCTGAAAATTACTGTTTGTACAACAGTCTTGGACGCATTTATGAAACGTGAACTGGAAAACAACAAAAATGTTTCACCTGACTGCACCACTTGTAGAGCTTCATCTGCAGTTTTCCAATCTGGTTTTCTGTCAGGTAAGGGGTGAATCGGTTCAGGTGAATACAAATAATAACCACGTCTAAAATGCCTGTGAGGGGACTGCCTCTCAAGTATCTGCAAAACTTTGCCAAACTTCCCTAATGCCATCTCTAAATTTAAGAGATTTTGATCAAATCCCAAATAACAAACACGACCTTAAAGTAATGTCAATCAAGGTAAACCTTGAATCCTGCATTGTTGACTATTATCAGTACGGAACGCATAATAAAAAGGGAACAAGTATGCGCTAGTTTCATACCGACAACATCTTGGTTATATAGACGCTCATTGAGTCAATGAAGACAAAAAGGCCTTGACCGCAACCTACCTTGACCTTTTGACGGACATGTATACAAAGTGATTTGCGGGTTGGAAAATAAAATGTTGACAATTTTAAAACCGTTTTCGCGGCTGTTGCCTCGAGTGACAAGTGTAGGTTCAAGTCGATCTTTTTTCATCTATTCTCCAGACGCTCTTAGTCCTCAACCTGACCGCGAACCAGCATGGAAGAAGGCAGAGGAAGCTGTGCAAGCAATCAAGTCGGGTCAGTAAACTGTTTATTTTAAAACTGCTTAAACACTGTTAAAGTAAAGGTTTCGTCTGATGAGTTTGAGGTGACAACTTTCCTCAGCGACGTGTGATTTATTCAGAAGTGATGATTTTGTCTAAGACATTTGAGGTGTGCTGAATTCATACCTGTGACTGACAGCTTGTTTTGGTAGAATAATTATTTACTTCGGGTTTTGCTTTCTGAACCAGGATGTACTATTGTGTTCTGTTTGGACAATCATGACTTTTTATTTAGTCTGTACCCGCAATGCACAGTGGTACGATGGTGAAAACACAGTGGTACGATGGTGAAAACCGATGGTACGATGCAGCGATGGTATGATGGTGAAAGCGCGATCATCGTGTTTTTATCACCATGCCTCCTCCTTTTCACCATCGTGCCATCGCGTTTTCACCATCATACTATCACGCTTTCACCATTGGCCACTGCGCTTTCACCATCGTACCATCGTGTTTTCACCATCGTGCCATCGCGTTTTCACCATCATGCCATCGCGTCTTCACCATCGTACCATTGCGTTTTCACCATCTTGCCATCGCCTTTTAACCATCGTGCCATCGTCTTTTGGTGGTCATGCGCAATGTTATATTTTTTATCAACAATGTTTGCCTTCTCATTATTGAACCCCGCACACTTTGTTTTTGTGTATCTATTTGTAACATGAAATTATCAAAAGGCAGTCACTCAAAAATTAAAAAAAAAGTTGTCATCCTTGTGACTGTACATATAAAGTTTCAAGTTGATAAATGCAAACATATATATAGCATATATAACCATATATTAAATAGTCATTGATACAGTACAGATTGTACCGTAACAGAATCTGACATATTTCTATAACTATGTGTACTGAATATACGATGGTGAAAACGCGATGGTACGATGGTGAAAACGCGATGGCTTGATGGTGAAAACGTCATGGTGCGCCATTGCACGATGGTGAAAGCGCGATGGTACGATGGTGAAAACGGGATGGCAAGATGGTGAGAACGCGAATGTGCGATAGTGATTCAAGTGAAAACACGATGGTACGATGGTGAAAAGGCGATGGTACAATGGTGAAACCACAATGGTACAATGTGAAAACGCGATGTGACATCGTGTTTTCACCATCGTACTATCGCCGCATCGCAATTTCACCATCGTGTTTTCACCATCTTACCATTGTGTTTTCACCATCGTGTTTTCACCATCATACCACCGTGCATCCCGGTAACAGACTAAGTTAAAAATCACGTCTGTCCAAACAGAACACCGTAATGTACCTTATATACTGTGTCTTGGCTTAATAAACGCACTGTAGAATGACGGGAACTCTTCTCAGATTGCTTGGACAAGACACAAATCTACTTTCGATTCAATAAAATGTTAATTAAGGCAAAGGTATGTGGAGCGTTGATCCGTCATTTTGAAAAAAAAATGACACAAGAATAAAGGGAAGCAATCTGCAGGACCAGTTACTTTCATTATTTGACTTACCGGAAAAATGTACCTTATAGTTTCATATGATGATTTGATTGAACAATTATTACAAATGATAATTTATCTATATAATTATTTAATGTTACTTATAAATAAATATACCAGGGTCTTTCAAATTATAAGACCTTAGATACACGGAAATCAAGATAAAAGCAGTGTCTATTCTAGGAGGGGCGATGGGGGGATTCACCAATATTTTTGAGAATTCACCCCTATTTTTTGAGAGGAAGGGGGAAAATTTTACATAGACAAAGAAGGAAAAAGATCAACAAATGTAATAATCTCTCACTATTCGATAAAAATCCCCCCTATTTTTCGAATCCTAGAATTAACACTGTAAAAGAGAAACGATATGTATGAACCAATGTTAAATACAGTTTCTCTGGTACAATGGCTTCTGCTGTATTTAGAAACAAGAAATACATTTATTCATCTGATATCAGAATCAGTCTAAAGTTAATCTTATATATTTACATATATGATTCAGATACATGTTTATTTCACTTTGCAGGTCAGAAAGTTTTTGTGCAGGGATGTGCTGCTACGCCAAACTATCTCTTGTCTGTTTTGGCTGATTACGGCAAGAAAGAACAATTAAGAGATGTTGAGTTAATTCATATACCTACTGTTGGGCCTGCCACATACACGGAACCAGAATATGAAGGTATTTTTTATTTGCATATTTTTACGTCAGTCATGGAACAGCGCCAAAATTGATGGAATTCAATGTATTTTATCATTATTAGTCTGGTTTTCTCAGGAGTATTAGCTACCTATAATGTAAAAGAACTGATAACAACTTATGATATACATGTACTTGATACGCTTTGCATAAGTTTCTAGGAAAAGGACTTTTAAAAGAACTATGTGTTTTTCTTTAAACATTATACAAAAAGGCAAATTTTATATGAAAATATCTAATTAACTGTACTGTAATATAAGCGTGAATTTGGTTTTAAAACTAAACATTAAAGTAACCAAATGTACTTAACTAAAAAAAAATCGGCAATCTGGTATCATTTAAGAAAACATGGTGGTGAGCTTAGCAAGGTTTATTGAACTCTTTATCACTGTGCTCAACCACTTGCATGCCAGCTTGCATATGATTTGTGTTTTGTGAGGGACAAAAACGACAACTCTGTTTGGAGATTACATTGTGGTCTAGACTAGATAACCAGACATGCTTTCCGCAATGAACATGTCCAGTTAGTGTGACTCAGATAACTTGTCATATTATAAATGTTTGTATTTTGTTATAGGTATTTTTCGATCCAAGTCTCTCTTCATTGGGGCAAACTGTAGAAAGGCGATTGCCGAAGGCAGAGCTGATGCAGTATCTATATTCCTGAGTGAAATTCCACTGCTCTTTCGAAGAAAAATATACAAGTATACTATATATGGTTATATGTACCGTTTCATATTAAACAAAGATAATTAAACAAGGATATTTTTATTTATTAACAAAATTTTGGCTTTGTACATGTAGTACACATGTAGTAGCAATGAAGTTTTCTTAAATTTGGTGAATTATGTGCAAAGTTCTATCTTCTGACAAGAAAAGCGCCTTTTTTCCTGTCACCATAAAGTGGTCTATGCAATCTAACTAAGTTCAGATCTACTTATTTCTTAAATTCGGAGTGTTATCTAGAGCTGATTTTAATCAGATTGGTCTATATCTCCATAAAGTAGTCTTTGTGTTCGTAAAGTGGTCTTTGTCTCCATATATTGGTCTTTGTGTCCATATATTGGTCTTCTGTCCATAAATTGGTCTTTATTGACAAGTTCGACTGTATTTCTGATTTATTGTTATACGATAGATTGGATGTTGCGTTGATTCATGTAAGTCCACCAGATCAGCACGGGTTTTGTTCGCTAGGAGTGAGTGTAGATTGTACTAGAGCCGCCGTGCAAGCCGCTGATTACATCATAGGTTGGTATATGTGTTTTAAATCTTTGTATGTCTGCGCCGGATATAATATAACAAAGACTAATATAAGCTCATAGCTCCTTTGTTTGCAAGTCAGTTGAACATGAAGAGAGGCATACAAGGCCAAGTGGTTAAGTTTGTTGACTTCCAAACACTTGCCTCTTACTGCTGAAGGTTCGAGTCGTGTAAGCAGCGTTGGATTCTACACATGATAAAGCTATCCAGCTAGCTTATGGAACGTCAGTGGTTCTACTCAGGTGCCTGTTTGTGCCTGAAATAATACTCCTCAACCAGTAAAGCAGGAAAGTCGCCATATGACCTATACTGTGTTGGTGCCATGTAAAACCCATCAACAACAAAAAAGAAACTGAAGGGGAAAGTTTTATGACCAGTCAGTCTGGCGTCAATATTACCTGTATAATTGTGTCAATGTTTCTACAGAGAGATATTTAAATGAAGTCACATTGAATAGTTACGCATGGAGCTCATAGTATGAGGCAGACACTTAGTGTCTATATATTTTGTATTCAAAACAATGTCTAGAGAGACATCAAAGACAGATATGACATTCTTTCTTTCTATAATAAATAATCCTGCATCACACTGGGACTAAATATCATAGTATATAAATGAAATTACTGCCTTGCGGGCCTGTAAAATTCAATGTGTATCCTGTCTTGTGATTAAAGCATGTGCTACTTCTGATAACTGTACCTGTCTCAGGAGCTTATATATTTTAACTTGAATACTTCTTGTGATGACAGGTTTGTGTACATGGAGATATAGTGAGTTCTTATGTGTAAATCAGCAATCTAGCTAACTTAATAAATGGTTCTTTATATGTATACTTTGAATTGAATAATTTAAGGTCTTCAAACACCTGTAATGCTGGAATGTTGCCATATGATCTTAAAACAGGGTCAACCTGACTTAAGCCCAGGGGTTTTGCGAGATAAGTTTACATTTAAATAATAATAGTCTGATAATTTAAATAGAAATGACTTTTAAAAGATGGAATAAGCACAGGTAGACTGGAAATTCTCATTCCGAGACACACATGCATAGGGGAATGTTCTTTATTTCAGTTTTGATGATGCAGGAAATTGGGAGCTCTAAACCCCTGTGTGAACAATACATGCTAAATTTTTTAACTTTCCTATTTGATATTTTAACTTTTCTAATTCTAGCTCAAGTTAATGAACACATGCCTAGAACACTTGGGGACGGCCTTATACACATGTCTCATATAGACTGTATGGTGGAACACAACACGGCCTTGCCGGAAATCATGCCTATTATCAGAACACCAGAAATTAACGAAATTGCAAGACTGATTGCCGACAATCTTGTGGAAGATGGTGCCACCCTTCAGACAGGTACACAAAATTATAAACTGTAGAATCAGACATTAAGGATGTTTCTTCTCCATCTGTTTTTAGATTTTTTATATTATATAATATTGTCTGTTTTGTTATTGATGCTCAAGCTGTTTCAGAGATTAGTATTCTTTATCTTTTACTGATTTTCACTACCAAACTACCTCTTTCTTGAACTACAATAATGCTGAAAAACTTATTTCTGCACTTTTCTCAACTAAGCGTATAAACTTCTCGGTTTGCAATTTGGAAAAAATATACATGTATGATTATTAATTATAAAACATCAAGACAGAAGAAGTTGACAGAACTTAAAGGAAAAAAAAATTATCAAACATGTAGTGGCAATTTAGAGATACATGTATTTCTATTTAATATGTTTATTCACTGCCACATATAAAGGAACAGTAATGAAAGGTACAAATAATATTGCGGACAATTTTCAATGCTTTCACAAGAATCCATTTATTTACAGCCAATCCCTGCTTTTAAAGGTCACCTCCAAATGCAAAAAAAAATATTGCAACTGAAAACAACTATTTTGTTTTAGCATTTGCTTGTGCATATTTTTAAATAACACTGTTATAAATATCTTCATTGCAAAATGCAAATACAATCAAATCTATCATATACATGAACATATTTGGCATTTTAAGTATTTGCTTAAGCAATTATATGTCTCGCACCAAAGGGCTGTTTGTAGAGATTAAAAGGATCGTTTAGCTTACTAAAAACAAATCAGAAAACAGTTACATGTAAGTCTCCACAATAACATAGCAAAAACTAATACCAATAGTTTCATCATTCATTATAAGTTTTTCAGAATTAGACCATTCATACATTCAAACATAAGCTGCTTTTAATTACACAGTCTGAACTTCAGAAGCATGTTCTCTCCTCCATACATGCTTGTACAATCATTTGCAAATTTAATATAAATAACAATTACTTATTTTTTTAACTCAAAGAAAAATTATTACGAAAAAGACAAGCTGCTGCATGACAACTAGTGACAAAGTTAAAATAGAATTACATACAATCTTTTAGATTTTCAATTTTATCAGGCAAGTTGAAAAAAATTAGTACACTTGGGTTTGGCTTACAAAAGACATACACTTGAAATAATGTTTTACCCAGTAATGAAAGTAACAAAAAGATCATGTATTATAATTTTTTTATACTTTGGGTTTATTTACACATTTTTGGTTTAAATAAACATTATTAATATTATGCTGATTGGTTATTTATTAACTATCCAAAATTATACTTCTTCTAGGTATTGGTAACTTACCTGATGCGGTCTTGCATAAATTATACAACCACAAGGATCTTGGTTTTCACTCAGAAATGATGAGTGACACAGTGGTGAACCTGGTAGAGAAAGGAGCTCTGACGAACGCCAAGAAAACCATACAGACTGGCAAGATTGTGAGCAGTTTTAGTATGGGAACTAAAAAGTTGTATAACTTCTTGGACGATAACTCATTTGTTGGTATGTAAATTTTTTTTATTAGCTAGACCTTCAGTGATTAAAGATATACTATGCTCATCCTTAAGTAAAGTATCTTAATCACAGAAATTTATTGAAATCTTTGAAATTCTTACTGAATATGTCTAATTTGAATAAAATAATTAATAAACTACATGTATGTATGGGGAGCTGCTTATGGGACAAATAAAGTTAGTCTCTCTTAAAAAAAACTGCCATAACACTGATTTTTTAGCTCACCTGTCACAAAGTGACAGGGTGAGCTTTTGTGATCGCTTTTCGTCCGGCGTCCGGCCGTCTTCCGTCGTCCGTAAACTTTTACTTTAAATGACATCTCCTCATTAACCACTCAGCCAATTTCATCCAAACTTCACAGGAATGTTCCTTTGGTGGTCACCTTTGAAAATTGTTCAAAGAATTTAATTCCATGCAGAACTCTGGTTGCCATGGCAACCAAAAGAAAAAACTTAAAATATCTTCTTCTAAAAAACCCAAAGAGCTAGAGCTTAGATTTTTGGCATGAAACATCTTCTGGTGAGTGTCTACCAAGTTTGTTCAAATAAAAGCCCTGGGGTCAAAATTGGCCCCGCCCCAGGGGGTCATTGATTTTCCCTATATGCATATAGTAAAAACTTTAAAAATCTTCTTTTAAAGAACCAAAAGAGCTAGAGCTAAGATATTTAGCATGAAACATCTTCTAATGGGTGTCTACCAAGTTTGTTCAAATAAAAGCCCTGGGGTCAAAATTGGCTCCGCACCAGGGGGTCATTGATTTTCCCTATATGCATATAGTAAAAACTTAAAAATCTTCTTTTAATGAACCAAAAGAGCTAGAGCTAAGATATTTAGCATGAAACATGTTCTAATAGATGTCTACCAAGTTTGTTCAAATTAAAGCCCTTGGGTCAAAATTGGCCCCGCCCCAGGGGGTCATTGATTTTCCCTATATACATATAGTAAAAACTTTAAAAAATCTTCTTTTAAAGAGCCCAAAGAGCTAGAGCTAAGATATTTAGCATGAAACATCTTCTAATGGGTGTCTTCCAAGTTTGTTCAAATAAAAGCCCTTGGGTAAAAATTGGCCCCGCCCCAGGGGGTCATTGATTTTCCCTATATGCATATAGTAAAAACTTAAAAAATCTTCTTTTAAAGAACTAAAAGAGCTAGAGCTAAGATATTTAGCATGAAACATCTTCTAATTGGTGTCTACCAAGTTTGTTCAAATAAAAGCCCTTGGGTCAAAATTGGCCCCGCCCCAGGGGGTCATTGATTTTCCCTATATGCATATAGTAAAAACTTAAAAATCTTCTTTTAATGAACCAAAATAGCTAGAGCTAAGATATTTAGCATGAAACATGTTCTAATGGATGTCTACCAAGTTTGTTCAAATAAAAGCCCTTGGGTCAAAATTGGCCCCGCCCCAGGGGGTCATTGATTTTCCCTATATACATATAGTAAAAACTTAAAAAAATCTTCTTTTAAAGAACCCAAAGAGCTAAAGCTAAGATATTTAACATGAAACATCTTCTAATGGGTGTCTTCCAAGTTTGTTAAAATAAAAGCCCCGGGGTTTAAACTGGCCCCGCTCAGGGGGCCTATGTACAGGTGAGCGACTTCAGGGCCATCATGGCCCTCTTGTTTCTCATTTTCAGCGATGCACGAGTGTGACTTCACCAACAATATTTCACTAATCTGTCAGAACCCACGCGTCACAAGTATCAACACATGCCTTGAAGTTGATCTCACGGGTCAGGTGTGCTCCGATTCTATTGGTACATACATGTACTCTGGTACGTGAAAACATTATTGTTTTGATTACTGTGTATACTTATTTCAGTAAGAAATCCTTGTAAGTTTGTTTCTTGTTTTAATTTATTTCTAAGGAATTTTGGTCTAAACTTTTGTTCTTTGAGAACCCCTATTAAGAGTATTGTGAAAGTAAAGAAAAAAAGACCAAAAACATTGCCAACATTTTATTACTCATTTAATAACATAGGCAAAAATTTGAACATTTTAAGACTGGAAACGTATATGTTAATCATGTCTACGGATTTCGAACAAACTTCACAGGAGTGATCAGTACCATACCTAATTGTGTTTGTAATAAAAAAAACCTTCTAGTTATTACTGGAAATGTATATTTTAGATGTATTTTAAAATAATTGGATTGCATAATAAAAAGGAATTTCATATACATGTGCAAGAACACTAATGGACCACTGAAAATATAGAAAATGTCTAAATGTTATTAAAAATATTTTTGCTCTGTATCCCAGGATTTGGAGGCCAGATAGATTTTGTGAGGGGGGCAGCTTTAAGTTTGGATGGAGAGGGTAAACCTATTATAGCATGTACATCAACAACAGATGACGGAATATCAAGGGTTGTTCCCGTTCTGAAAGAAGGTAAATATTGCTGTTTAATTATCAAGATGTCAATGGAAGAGTACCGTTATGCTGGGACCAAAAATATACATGTACTTTATAAAAAAATATAATTATTTTTGGTCCCAGTGTTATGAAAAGGTGCCTACCCTGAAAGGTAAATAATTCTGCAGTTTAATTTTCAAGATGTCAATAGAAGAGAACTGTTACAAAAAACTTTAAAAGGGTTCATTTATCATTTATAGATAACTTAACTCAGGTTTACATCTATTGACTTATACACTGTTATAAGTAACTTTTTGGAAATAATAAATTAAAGTACACCAAAACTACAAGGATTTTGAGAAATAAAATAAAATGCATAAATTTATTCCAGGTGCTGGCGTAGTTACAACCAGGGCTCATGTACATTATATAGTTACAGAATACGGCATTGCTTACTTGTTTGGTAAAAATCTACGACAAAGAGCTTACGAAATGATCAAGGTCGCCCATCCTTCGGAGAGGGAGATGCTTGAAAAAGCTGCATTCGAACGTTTTAAATGTATGCCGTCCCCTTGAACACTGCTTCATATGTTTCAATTACACGCTGTTAGAAGATTTATTCTGTGAACTAAGCTATAGTTTGAACAGTAAAATTAAAAATAAATGACACGAGAATTTCACATGCAAATGGTAGCAATATTTTTATTTTTTTATGAACTAAAAGTTTAATGCATTATGCTCAGTTTGTGTGTTAGATTGTCCATGTTTTCTTTAATTCTGCTCACTAATATCACAGATTGGATGAAAAAGTTCATATATGAACAATTCAACCGAATTTGTCATTAAACTGGCAAATCGCTTTAAAAATTGATTTTTTTTGTAGATACAAATTGTGTTGTTTTCTAACTAGTAAATAGGAAAACAATTTGTGTTGTTTTCTAACTAGTAAATATAAAAAAAGAAGCAAGTTTTATTATTAAGTGGTTTTCTTAGCGTCTACAAACAGTATGCTCTTATTTGCCATAATCCTGGCACTAAATTTGTTGACATATCTTCCAGAACATTTTTAAAAGTTTAACTAGTAATACCAACTTTGTTTAAACTTTAAGATAAGTAAAAAGAAATACATGTTTATGTTTAAGTGAAAAGAAAATTACACATCCATGTTTGTTTAAACTTTATATAGATACCTTTCATAATGAAATTTCATATGTATTATAAATGAATAAATTTAATTCCAAAAGTGAAAGAAAAAGAACACTACGATTTTGAATGAGGCTTTATAATGGCTTTGATTTAAGTTATTTTCAGGGATATAGAACTGTTAAATTGACGTATGTATGAAATAGGCATGTAATTGGTGCATACTTAATTGCTACTATATAAAGCAATGTAATTATATGAATGTGTGAACATAGATTACTATGTGTAAGAATGTTTTCTGTCCCAGCTGAGATTTTGTAAATACATATAAGTAGAGATAATAGCTGTGTGTATCTGAAATGTTTGTTTATTAGCAATTTTTTTTTTGGTGGCTTTTATAAATAACAAAGGCTTTTGCCCCAGCTGACGATTTATGCATTGATGATGATATTTTGATATTAAATTATATGTGCACACACTTGATCACTAAAGTGTTAGCACTGTTTACATGGTTTAGTCTTTGTTAGTTGATTATAGCAAGGTTATTCTATAGAATTGTTGTTTTACTTCTGTTAATTGTGAGGAATTTTTGCACAAAAATCTCTCGACCAAAATATATGTTACTTTTATATAATTTTAATAAAAGAAAGGTCTACCATTAGTTATAATATATTATTACATGTTAAAGCCTATATTTTTACAATTAAGGTATTGGATTGTGTATGCAAACAATTGAAATATTGGATTGGGTATGCAAACAGTTAGATTTTGGATTGTATATGCAAACTGTTGAAATATTGGATTGTATATGCAAACAGTTAGATATTGGATTGCATATGCAAACAGTTGAAATATTTGATTGTATATGCAAACAGTTAAAATATTGGATTGCATATGCAAACAGTTTGAATATTGGATTGCATTTGCAAACACTAATAATGTTGGATTGTGAATACAAATCAACATTTTTAAAGAATTGCCTAAATTTAGATGATTATTATTAGAGATGTAATTAGTGCTTTTTATACACCATGACTTTGGACCCTTTACTTGTTGATATATATCTTTTGTTATGTCATTTTTTTGGTCTTTATAAGATTGAATGAATGAAATATTTTGAGAATTTAGCTGGATTTTAGAGATTTGTATCATTTAGTATTCTATACAAAGTTTAACTAATAAACTTAAAATAAAAACTATGTCTGTTGTGTTAAGTTTCTTTTTATCTCCCTTAGCAAGGATATCATATACCACTATTGCAGTTTTAATGAACTTTACGGGATTGATCAGTAGCTCAAATACTTGCACATATTACAGTGGTTTTCTAGTTGAAAGATTTTCAGCTGAGTTTTGGGCCTTGAATAAAAAATGTGTTTTGCCCTGTTAATGATTTTTGTGTCTCCTGCTACACAGTAGCTGCAACATGCAACTAGCTATCATGAGGCGACACATGTCGTCACTGATGGCTAGAGCTGTCATTGATTCAGTGCAAAGCATATCAACGATATACAGTAAAAACTCCGAAAACCAGACCCTCTGAAAACCGGACTATTTTAAAAGTCCTGTATTTTCTCCCTATATGTTTAATGAAAAAAATCCTCTGAATACCGGAACCTCTGAATTCCGAAAACCGGACGATTTTCTATGATTTCTAAAGCTAAACATGCATAAAAAATCCTCTGAAAACCGGACAGCAATTTAAACTGTCAACTTTCTGTGTCCTTTAATGTAGATCTGAACATAATCTCAACAGGTGACATATTCAATTACCAGCAAATGGTCATATCCTTTTAACTATGCAGATGTGAAAACACTTGTCAGTGCACATTAATTTCTTATTGTCAATTAAATTATAGCTCTTTAATCATATTTGTGTCTTTCCTCATATAGATATGATTTTTCAAAAATGTTTTTAATGTGCTATGTTTTTTTAATATAATATTTCAAAAAGAGTTGGGAAACTTTTTTTTAAATGATTCAAGTTTTGCTTTAAATTTTGATCTTATAGTTATCTTTGTTTTGATATCAATTATTTGCAAAAATAATAATAGTAATTTCCATTAATTTCATATTTTAAAGCTAATGAAAAAGGTATTATGATATATTTCAGACAATGTGGTGTTTTAATTTCTGATTTTCTGAATTATAAATATTCATGGATTTTCATAATAAAATTACTAAAGACATTTATTGCAAAAAGAAATTAAAATATGACTAAGACAAAAGGGTTGAAAAGTGATTAAACAAAGTTATTGTTCAAACACATCATAATTATCAATAAATGTATAAAACCTCTGAAAACCGGAATCCTCTGAAAACCGGACTTTTGGTCAAGTCCGGACAGGGTCCGGTTTTCAGAGTTTTTACTGTATCGATATCAGATGACTAAAATCAACGATACACCGATATATCGATAATAACCTATAATTACTTGTCTATCATTCACTTTCATACCTGTTTAAATTATTTCAGTTAAAAACATGTTCTGTACAATGTCCACTGCATTTTTTTTCCAGACATTATTTTTTGTCACCATTGCTATTAAATATTTCCACTATATAACAAAAGCATAACATTAGACATAAATAACTGTTCTGTATATGTTTTGGGTGATTTTTTTATAATTTCTAGACATTTAATTAATTAGTCAAAAGTATTGATTTTTTGAAGTGTGTATCGATTATTGATCGCCCAAAAAATATCAACGATACATCGATATTGTCTCTATCGATGACAGCTCTACTGATGGCCCATGTTGTATACAGCTATCACATTTTTACCATGTGCACAATTTCGAGTGTAGAACTTAAATTTCGTATCAAATTACTTAATTATTGACCTAGTGACCTTTTTTCTTGTTTTTGATATACAGCTATGAAATAAGGACCATGTATATAGTAAACTTAAAAAAATACATTTTGCATGAAGTAAGGTCTATTGTGACCAACATCGTTCAAATTCTTGTTATAACAACATAACTTTCATTGCTTTCACACAAATAACAGTCAGTCCTCAGGTTAGAGCTTTGCGGACAATGGCCCCCCTTGTTCAAATAAAGACGGGAACCAAGAGAAATATTCTTTTGTGTTGTATTTGAACCATTTCTCTACTTATTCTGTGTAGATGACTTGTCCTGAATTGAATGACTTTGAAATTGACAGAAAATCTGTGACAAAACTTTTAAGATCATTGACTTTGAGCTGCTTCCCCTTCTGCTGCTTTGGGTATGAATCCTGCCAAGCAGAAATAATGAATATAAATAAGTTATTTCACTTGTTTTATCTGGAATTAAGTTGTACATGAAGGAGACACCTTCTGAGTCTTCCTCAACCCGTAAAGCAAGATGAAAGCAACTTTTAGTATTCCACAACCAGCATAGCATAAAAAGTAAAGTTGGAAGAAACCAAGAATCTTGTCTTTCTTAAACAGAAAAGCTGGTAGGACACATCTCAGTCATTCACAATCAATAAAAGCTGGAAGGAAGATTTGTTACACACCTTTGGTTTGCCTCATAACCTCTGATCCCCTTTCAAAATTCCATTTTGTTTAGTTCCGCCCATTGTTTTCTTGTTTAAGGGCACACGCTTTTTAGCTCACCTGTCACAAAATGACATGGTGAGCTTTTGTGATCGCTTTTCGTCCGGCATCTGGCGTCCGTCCGTAAACTTTTACTTTCAATGACATCTCCTCATAAACCGCTGAGCCAATTTCATTCAAACTTCACAGCAATGTTCCATTGGTAGTCAGCTTTAAAAATTGTTCAAAGAATTTAATTCCAAGCAGAACTCTGGTTGCCATGGCAATCAAAAGAAAAAACTTAAAATATCTTCTTTTAGAAAACCAAAAGTGCTAGAGCTTAAATATTTGGCATGAAACATCACCTAGTAAGTGTCTACCAAGTTTGTTCAAAATAAATGCCCTGGGGTCAAAATTGGCCCCACCCGGGTGGGTCATTAATTTTCCTAATATGTATATTGTAAAAACTTAAAGAAATCTTCTTTTAAAAACCCAAATAGCTAGAGCTTAGCTATTAAGCATGAAACATCTTCTAGTGGGTGTCTACCAAGTTTGCTCAAATAAAAGCCCTGGGGTCAAAGTTGGCCCCGCCCCAGGGGGTCATTGTTTTTCCCTTTATGTATATAGTAAAAACTTAAAAAAATTGCTTTTAAAAAACCCTTAATAAGAGCTAGAGCTAAGAAATTTAGCATGAAACATCTTCTAATGGGTGTCTACCATTTTTGCTCAAATAAGGGCCCTGGGTTTAAATTGGCCCCAACCGGGGGATCATTGATTTTCTTTATATATGTATATGAGTAAAAACTTAAAAAATCTTTCTTTAAAAACCTCTAGAGCTAGAGCTAATTAAGATATTTAGAATGAAACATCTTCTAATGGGTGTCTACCATTTTTGTTCAAATAAGGGCCCTGGGGACAAAATTGGCCCCCGTCCAGAGGGGGGGAAGGGGATCATTGATTTTCCTTAAATGTATATAGTAAAAACTTAGAACATCTTCTTTTAAAAAACATTTCGAGCTACAGCTAAGATATTTAGCATGAAACATCTTCTAATGGGTGTTACCATTTTTGTTCAAATAAGGGCCCTGGGGTCAAAATTGGCCCCATCCCGGGGATCATTGATTTTCCTTATATGTATATAGTAAAAACTTAAAAAATCTTCTGTTAAAAAACCCAAAGAGCTAGAGTTTAGATATTAAGCATGAATTATGTTCTAGTGAATGTCTACCAAGTTTGTTCATATAAAAGCCCTGGGGACAAAATTGGTCATTGTTTTTCCCTATTTGTGTATCTTCTTAGAGCTAGAGCTTAGATATTTATCATGAAACATCTTCAAATGGGTGTCTACCAAGTTTGTTCAAATAAAAGCCCCTGGGTTAAAATTGTCCCCGCCCCGCCACCTATATACAGGTGAGCGATTTCAGGGCGATCATGGCCCTCTTGTTATCACTTGGAGATCCATATGCCGCTTTTCATGGAATGGCACAGAAGTGTCACATTGAAGGTTTTCATGATAACCGCCATATAAACACATCTGCGGATGTTTCAAAATTCCAAATTGTACCAGTTCATGTTAAATGTTGAATTCTGCTTAAGCCGGTGCTAGGGGGCGTGGACGATAGTTTGCACTTGACAGTACCGTCCATGAACAGGCTCAATCAAACCGAGCCTGCAACATTTTCAATTTTGCTGTGTTGGGCTCTCTTTAGGGATTCCTATTTTCTCTATTTTGGCATAACTGGTAAACTTAAGCCAGGCGGCTCTTTGTTCTTGATCAACCAGTTAAGCTGGAAGATTATTAGCTATACCAAACAAATTGTAGATGTGACCTATCTTCCCAGATGTGACTTAAAACCAAACAAAATGAATAAGGTGGCATCAAATCAAAATGTCAATAGGTTATAGAGAACAGTCAACTGATCACCTGTCAACATTGGGTAATTGTGTAAGTACAGTATTTTTTGAAAACAAACTTTCAAAACTTTTTTGCTTTTTTTACTTACTAAGTTAATGTATTTCATTTTTATTTCTAAATATGAGAAAAATTCTATGTAGAGCCCTGAATGTATGCTTCACTTGAAAATTTCCCAAAAAGACATTTTGAGATAAAAGGAAACATTTATAGTGCTGCAAATTTGTTAAGCTTAGGAACACCTAACTGGTCCCCGATCATAAACAGAGGGTTTCATACACCAAAATGTTCGGTTGAGTCCCTAGATTACGAAATTGAATTTCATTTTCCCCGAAAGTGCTGGCGGACTAAGAAATTCAAGATGGCGTCCAAGATGGCCGCCAAAAATATGAAAATTATAATTTACTTTATATTACTTGAATTTTGGCAGTTAAAACTTAGCAATAAGTTCTTTCTTTTCATTTTTGTATTAATTGTGTTCCTTAAATGCAGTTTTAATATGTATTTTAAGGTAATTATATTTTTTGATGATAAAAACAAAAAATAATTACGAAAAATATACGGAAAAAAATGTGATTTTAAAAATACTTGATACAATTTCTTATTTTTTTCTCTCTTTCTAATAAAAAATTAATTTTAATGACTGATTTTAAAGAAAACAACATGTTAAGCTCGACTTTTAAAAAAGATATAATAAAAAATAGATAAAATAAAAAAAATTAATTAAAAAAATAGAGGTATTGTTACAGTCATGTCGGTGTTGACGTTTCC